ACCCACACAGTGATCGTGCTTACCTGTACCACCATGCAGACCCACACAGTGATCGTGCTTACCTGTACCACCATGCAGACCCACACAGTGATCGTGCTTACCTGTACCACCATGCAGACCCACACAGTGATCGCGCTTACCTGTGCCACCATGCAGACCCACACAGTAATCGTGCTTACCTGTACCACCATGTAGACCCACACAGTAATCGTGCTTACCTGTACCACCATGCAGACCCACACAGTGATCGCGCTTACCTGTACCACCATGCAGACCCACACAATAATAGTGCTTACCTGTACCACCATGTAGACCCACACAGTAATCGTGCTTACCTGTACCACCATGCACGCCCTGCAGTCTGGATTTCCAGTGCTAGGGGTACTGGCACCAAGTCCGTCCCTCTTGGTTTTTCTGGGATCCTTGCAGAGAAAACATGCTTTTACGCCTAATATCCTTTCTGGCATCCAGTATCAAACCCTTGGATCCAAAACTTGAGCAAATGAAGATGGTTGTTGAGCTATGGACGGTCTGAACAAACAGAACTTGATAAAAGCTTTGGTAAGAACAGATGCAATCATGTATGGTTTAGCAGAGTTCAATTCAGATAATTTTTTATAAAGCACGTCTTCGCTCCAGTGACCCAGAAAGCATTTATCATAGAGAACAATACAAATGGATTTGAAATCAATTAAGTTCAGGTTCACATCACATGAGAGAGCCAGACGCCAACCCAACACACACACACACACACACACACACCCTTTTGCGTTACTAAGAGTAAACAGCATGTTTCCCAAATACCTACAGGCACTGATCACAATAACCTGAGATGAGTGGGAATGGCTGTAAATCTGGCAGTCAAATCGTTTCCAGAGATGGAATCAGACAAACCTCTAGGTTGGGATGCAATCAGGGCTGCTTTAATGCTCGGGTTTTACCCGCTGGAGCCCTGGGGCCTGTTGCATGTTTAATAAAATTTTAAACCAGGAGTTGCCACTTGTCATCCCACATAGAAAAATATAATGGCATGGTCATGATTTTAAACCGATACACTTTGTCCTGTATTTTTGCATTCGGACCACGGATCTTGATCTCCCCCAGCAACAAAAAAAAAATTGTTAACAGGACCCCCACTGACAGCTTAATATTGCACCCTTCCCCTCCAACTCAAACAGCCCAAGGGTGCCTCTGTATGCAGCGTAACCACCGCATCACGGAAACCCCTCAGCTTCACGGCGCGTCCACTGAAATGTCTGTTTCACTGTTTATTCCATATAAGCCTATAAATGCAATATGCATGAGACCCTGGTGGGTGAAGCCCAGCAGGAAAATGAAAAGAGAAAAGCAACCAATGTTTACTTTTAAGGTTAACTGCAGAGCGGCCTTCAACCAACAGCTTTCAAATGGATGTTATTTCTTGGACCTTTCTGTCAGTGTGAGTGGAGAACTTCAGGTGTTAGAAAGGCTGTCGAAATGATCAAATAAATTAATGGATAACTTATTACTCATGTTGAAAGGGGCAGTGTAAACTGACCTTGAACCAAGTTTTTCTTCCTTGAACTGTCCAACTAAACTGTCACCCAGTCTAGTTAGGTATAGTAATAACGTGCAACAGACATAAATGAGAATGGTAAAATCTTAAATATATACATTTCTCATATTTATTTGCTTGTTTGTTTGTTTGTTTTTCTTTTCCCTTGGTCCATTTCCAGCTAAATTAAATGTGTGCTTGTTATTTCTGTACGTTTTTTAAATGTAACCTCGAATAGGTCGGAGTCGGGTGGCAGGAGTAGCAGGCCTAGTAATATTTTCTGGGAGATGGCTGCATATTCCCCAACTGCTTGTGGTCTGGGTTGTGAAGTTTCACCTAATAAAAAGAAACATTTTCATACCTAGCTAACACTTGAAATTACTCAAAGGCTTTTTCTCACAGACAAATAGAAAAGGAAAAAAAAAACGGCAGCATTTTGAATAACATCATCGATGTGGAAGTCTGCCTTGTCAATGAAGGCAATGTTGTTTAAATTTGATGGAGGCTATGTAATTCGGTGCTTAGCTAGCATGGATCGTTTTTATTGTAACTTATACGTTCGCAATCCTGAATCATTTTCCAGAAGATTGGGTATATGCAGCGTAATCAGTGTTATGCTATGGTGAAACTGAAGCTTCCAACTACATGCATGACTTCATCAGAACAAGCCGTCACAGCTCATAAAAACGTTTTTCGATATATAAATCTACCTTGTGTGACCTTGGCTACGGGAAACTGAGACAAAATCAGTTAGAGTATTTAACGATGTATGGTGTACCCATTGTTTTAATGTTAGCTAATATGCATTCCTGTAGTTCCACAGAAATGCAAAGATCAAAAGTTTTAATTTTTTACGAAGTTGTTTACCACTAAAAACAGCCTTAAAGGTCTAGTATATTTTCCTCTCATATATGACCGTTGTCGAGAAATCGAATAGAAGAATTAGACCTATTTTTCATACTTCCGTTCCCTGGTCCAGTAGTGTTTAATACTTTATATTCACTCAGTCAATGGTTTCTGTGAACCACCACTGACCCTTGGAAGTTCTGACCGAGTTACACGTGCATTAACATTAGCCTGACTGATGTGGAAAAAGAGCATTAAACGGAACAAAATTTCAGACTCCACTGTTTAGCTATATTTATGCAGAAATATATCTTGCCTTCTTTGTATGCATATGTCATATTCTAGGTTTTGGGAAGCACATGAAGGTTATAATCTCTGTTACATAGATATAAATAAAATCGCGGTCTCCTACACACAGGCTGTGCCGGGAAAGGGTTTCTTGATTGGGTAACCCTCAAGCCTGGTCTGTACCAACCGCTGTCAGTCTCCAGATGGTGCCCAAGCTGGGGGTTGGGAAAAGGTGGAAGCCGATTCCCCAAAGGCTTCTGTCCAAACTGCAAGTGTCTAATGGACACTGGACTTTGTGTCACTACGCACACTTCTAGCAGAGCAAAAACATGCAGGAATTTCTGCTGATTTCACAGCTCTTGGATGAGGTCCACTCACAGGAGATGGGATATTTCAAGCCCCCAAACTTTCACTGCCCAACTGCCCTCTTCCATTTCAGGTATGGTAAGGCAGCTAAGAATATCCGCTATGTGTTTGCATAATCCCTGCAAGCATTCAAGGTATTGCACATATTGCATTTTTCGTTTATGACAGCATATGTAATTAGATGTTTTGAGTGAAAAGTTTTTAAAATAACACAAGAGATTAAAGGATTTATTTTGGGAAAATGACTTAAGACAGATACATAAACCAGATACATTGTTCTAGCTAGTATTAGCAGTTTTGTACTTCCCAGCATTAACACAACATTTCCAGGTCTTTCTCCTGGGCGTACCTGTGCATAAGCACACCTTGGGTCCCAGGAGAAATGCCAGGGCAGTGTGTTTCTTCTCCTGAAGCCTGTAAGGTCAAACAGAGACGGGTCTGGTTTGCACTCTGCCAAGACCAATAAGCCAGAGGACAGACTGCCCTTTGTTCCAAATGGCAGCTGAAACACTTGAGGCTAGGAATTCCAGACATGATCAAAAGCCCAGCTGGAGGAGAGGTTATGTACGGATGGGACTGAAAGTAACGCAGGTAACGCAGAGGTTGCAGGAACTTTCAACAGACCTGCGCTGAAAACTCTGCCTGTCAAGTTACAGGAGTCACTCGAGCTTTGAGAGTATTCACTGTAAAACACTGTTCTGTCAATATACATAGAAGTATGTGATTTAAAAACTATTTAACATGCAAATATGTCATGGTTCATTAACTCTCTAAATAGATCAAGCAATCAGGAAAGTATTAAGACATTTTGTGGTTGTTTCTTTTTTAGTCTGGAATCCTGTGGTTATATCCCTTATATGACCATATCAAGTAAAATGAACAAAGTGCATTTGGTTGGCACAGGCATTAAATCAACGATAAAATTAAAGATCCATTGAAGTAGAATATGCAATAAACAATCAAGAAAATGCAGTAAGTATAGGTTTGGCATTTCATATTACTAAAATGCTATCTTAAGTAAAAGAAAAAAGAAAAACTCAGAACATGCACATTCTTTTGATATATTGATTCTAATTCACTTATAGATACCCTCTCCAAAAAAGAGCAAGAACGAGTAATCAAAGAGCATTAAAAGTACAATGGATTGGATACATACCAAGCCAGGAGGTGCACATAGTGCAGTACTCGGTCATCTGCCTGTTCTTGATTGAGTTAAAAATAGATAGCGTTTTGGACAACAGTGCATTAGCATTGGCCTCCATTTTAGCAACTGTCACTACATTGGAAGAATTTTAAGGTAGCCTTTATTGTGATACAGGGTGGTCCAGATGTCACCAATCTAACGGATGACCCCATTTAACTGAACCCTAACATTTTCTGGCTTTCCAAATGGCTTGCTTAACAAGGACAGTGCTAATGTGACAATGACAATCAACATCTACTTCTTTTGATTTAAAAAAGAAAGTCATGCAGTTAAGATTTTTTGTGTGTATATGTTCTGTAATAATATATTCAAAATGTCTGGCTGTACTTTATAAAATATATAAGTTTGTGTTCATTTCCATCAGATATCGTATGCTTTGGGAAATATTTTGCTTTGTAATTAATTTTTAAATCCTTTTAAAATATTTTTTTTAAATTGTAGTGAAACATGAAAATATAAAAGATATCCATATATGCTGTCTTATTGCTATGAGCAGTCAGAGTGGTAAGCTTTGCACTATCCTCAGAAGGCCAGCACACACAGATTGTACTCATAGAAGGTCTTATCACCTGCACAGATTTGAATCACAGCCAAAACTCCCTTAATTTAAGCTGTTCCCATTTGACAGCCGATTTATACAACAATTACAACAACTGAGCCAGTTAAAGAGACATTATTGGAATATTTTCTCCTTCATTTTGTCAAATACTTTTGAGTTACCATCATTTTGCAATACTAGCTGGGAGTGTATCAACAATAGTTAAAATTCAGAACACTTATTTGCAAGGTAATTATTATCTTGAAGTTTAAAACGGTTTACTCCCACAACATTGGTACCCAACTGTTTAATAATAAAACAGTAAATAAGTAAAAAAACAGTAAAAAGACAATTAACATCAGAAATAATATTTTTCGTTTAACTAATACATGGTGTCATACTGAAAATTAGCTTCTTTTATGATGATAAAATGAAGGAGCCGGATTGTTAAATGCCCAAGTTGTTGTTGAGAATTTTGCCATGTTTAAAAAACAAAATCTGGTCTTAGTCGAACTGAATGCCGCGCTGCCCATGAACTTGGGAACAAAGACACTATTCTGGCTTTAGTGTCCTTTCTTGAGACGTCTGTGTAAATTATCAGTGCCTTTCTAAATACTGCTGGCTTCAAATGACTACAGCAGGATTTCTCATCTATGACTATCAGACAAAAATGTATGCTGTATAATATCTGAAACCCTGAAAGGGACATGCGTTTGAATGCATGAATGCGGAATACTGGTCAAGTTCTAGGTTTTGTGACATTTAAATAGTAACTTAAAGTACAGGTTTTCCTTGGATTTCATGCATAAGTCATCCTTTGAATAATATGCCGTTTTATCTGTGTAGATCCCCCATTAGCTTAACCTAAGTTATTTACCAAAGACGTTGACTGAAGCGGGAATTATGCAGGGAAGTGATCGGATACGTTCATGTCTCTGTCTCCATCTAGTGGACTTTTATAACTTAAAAATTTTTCTGGCTGATAAAGCCAGGAGCCACCGAATTCACCGCGTTGTGGAATTGACATGTTCATCGCGTTTCTTGGTTGGGGGGGGGCGTTCAAAGAAATCTTTGCTTAGGGGCCCTGAAAATGCAGCGCTGGCTCTGGCCATAGCCTCAAGCTTTTTCCATGGTCCAATAGAAACTACGTCTCAGAACTGTACATTTTTGTTTACAGTTATTTTTATACATAAAAAGAAAAAATATCGGGAATACACGTGTCACGTTAACGGAATAAGAAGCATAATTATGCTGAATTTGAATATGCATCATTTTCTGGGCTGCAAACTCTCACGCATCTGAGGTGACACTTTCAGACTCTCATGCTCACCTACGAAATCTTACGGCAAATCTATATTATTTCATTATAAACTCAAAATTAGCTACATCAAAAGCGTTGGGTAGTTCGCAAATCCTACAGGCTATTTAATAAAGACCCTACAGACTATTTAAGGTAATTAAACTGACATTTCATGATAAATAAACCATTCTGTGTAACCTGACGGGCAAAATTCATTTTTAAAAATTGGAGGTTGAAAAACGAATTGTGATTGCGATTTAAGAATACGGAAACATATCGAATTTCAATTTAAACAGTAATTCTTACAGGCCCAGCCTTCACGATCACATTCGGCAACTTTCGGCGAGTTGGCGGCGCCTCGCCACGTTTCGGGTCGTCCTCGCGCACGCTCCGTCAAGTTCCCGTCGCCGAAACTACAGGAAGTGTGCGCGAGGCCTGCGCAGGAGGAATTTCGTAACGGTAGGGCGACGTTTTCTACAGCGCATTGTTTTGGTTAATGTAAGCACCATATTTGTCTTCAGACAGTAAGGTTTTGAAAGTTTTTGTTTATGTGTGTTAAGATCTTAAAAAAGTAGTCGTACGTGATCGGAATATTTTGGAACATGAATGTAAACAATAGTTTCAGTATCAAACTTGAGGATTCTGGTTAATTGTTGGCGCGTGAATGGTTAGCGTAAATAATCAGGGTCTTTTCAGCTTCAAACGAGTGGCTTCTTGTATAAACAGAAGAAACCAAGCGCTTTGAACTAGTAATTTGTTTTTCAAGAGCACTATTTTGCTGTGCGGCGACTGTAAAATGTTATTGACGTAAAGTTATTTTTTAACCAGTATCTATGAAGTAAATTGTGCGAGATGAGTTTTGGATTACGCCGTCCTTGGCTTGGTTATATTGATTATTTTCACACAAAATCTCTTCGATAAATCGTCACTGCGTAACTTTAGTAGTCAGATCACCATTAACGTTATCATGATTATCATGATGATTATTTTTCTGAATATAAGCCGCAAAATATTATTGAGGTCAGTCACACATTACCGTCGTTTTATTGAATGGGTGTAGTAAGAGGTCCTGTATTTCCTGTGGTTAGCTAGAGAAGGACACCAACGAACTACAGTAAACCCCGTGTTGGATCATAACAGTCTGTTTCATAATTTAAAATATTCAAGATAAGCTTCTAATGTACTATGAACTGATAGTTATATTGCTAAGAAATTATTAAAGAAGAATTATCGTCACATAACTCAAATTTACAATGATGTTCTTGTCCCCTCCCCAGTCAGTTTCCATGATGTCATCAGATAATGGGAATGCCCAGCTATCTCCAGTCTTGTTCCTGGACTTGCAAGGTGAACCGATGCGCTTCTTCCTGTGTCCAGGTGCCAGCAAAGCCCAGCTCCAGCCTATCATCAAAGCGGGTGGGGGTGTGGTATGCAAAGTGCAGGAGCCCGGTGCCATTCTGCTGCTAGACCCAGAGCAGGTGGCCAAAGTCCCGGCCATGTTAGCAAACTGCTACATCTCCACGCAGTATATAAGGGACAGTGTGGAGAAGAACCAGCAGCTGGACGTGGACGACTACAAGTTCAACAACGGCGGGGAACAAGCCCGACCAGAGCAACGCAAGCGGGAGAGGGGGCGTATGGGCTACACGCCGGAGGATGACGCTGTGATCCTGTCTTATATAAGCAAGCGCTTGCAAGAGGCCCGGGGCAATGTAGTGTGGAGGGAGATGGAACGGCTGGGTGTTACTGATCACAGCTGGCAATCTATGAAGGATCGCTACCGAAAACACCTGTGTCTGCAGCTGAGTTCACCAAAGAACTGGTCCCCACCCGATAGAAAACCCTCACGGGACAGGACGCATCCCAGGGCCTCACCTGAGAAGACATCCCTCCCACTTGTGATCGAGAAGACCAAAATGCGCACCCCACCCGCACAAGAGGCCCCAGCATGTTCATCGAAGAAAAGGCACGCAGAATCGTCACCCGAAAAAGATATTGGAGTCGTGCCGGAAAGTTCCCCTGGTCAGTCTGTGAAACATGGCATGCACCCACAGGCCTCATCTGAGGCTGCCCACACACGGTCTCCAGTTAGGAAAAAACACAGAGAAAGTTCTCCTGAGAGTGGCTGTCTAGACACCTTGGCGGAGGAGGATGGTGTATTACAAAAGGACACAGATGCACTTGCAGAGAGCCGGGTGGTGGTACAACAGAGCTCTGAAATGAACAGAAACACGGTCAATCCAGGTACTTCCCTATTACCTTCAGTGTGTGATTTATGTCCGTCCAGAATCTCTTTTGATGTTTTACATAATATTCCATAAGAAGTTCATAAATGCTGTGGTTATTTTGTGAAGAATTGTATTTTACAAACATGGCTTACTGAAGTATACCATGTTGAGGTTTTTGTTTGATTCACTTTAGAGGAGAATGGAGAGGAGATGGAAAAAAGGAGGACTGTTACTCCTGTGAAAATGAAACTGGGCATCCTGGAGATGGCAATATTGGAATTTGAAGAAGAAGATGGAGTAAGGTTCTTTTAATGTTGTCCTGTACAACTTATTGATTCAGTTTCACATGAATGAGTGAAAATAATGGTAACCTTACCAAATGTTTTTAGTCATGATAAAAATACATTGATACACAAGAAAATGTAATAATTGGATTGTGTGACTGCTTTCTTCTTGTAGACTGATGATGAGACACCAGACCTGTCACTAAGCAAGAGACCTCAGGCCGACCCAGAAGCGTCTGCTTGTGAGCATGACCTGGTCGTGAACACATCCCGGGAGATTCTGGATGACCACGCCAGCAGAAAGGCCCAGATAGAACTACTGGCAGGGAATTCAGGGCCTCAGGATCACAGAAGCAATGGCACAGTAAAGAAGATCATTCCTGCAGCTTCAAATGTCCACACGTTCCTTTTTGAATCTCAGGAAGAGTTGACCAATGATGTCGCTTTCTCCCAGGCCCAGCTGGAGGAAGCAAAACACCTGTTACGTACCTTGATGAGAGAGTCAAAGCAGGACCTATGTAGTGTCACCAAAGCCCTGCTGAAAAATAGCGGTGAAGTGCAAGTTTCCCTGAAATATCTGCTAGCAGGTGATAAAGAGAGGCCCGAAGGACCTTTTTGGACTCGGCATGATGACAATCTCCTCCTTTCAGCCCACCCGTCTCAGCACAATCTTCACTTGAAATATGGGGAAGACGGAATGGCCAAGAGGATTGCTTTCCTTGACACTGAATGAAACATGATCACTGTGACAGGACATGCTGAGCAGAACAGCTGTTAGGCAATATCAGCTATCCAACACGGCAAGTTTTAGTACTTTGGCTGGAATGTTTGTCTTTTTCCTTTAAAGTTCTCCTACTCAGAAAATTCTCTGGTGCTGCCTGATTCCAGGATCTGCTACCAGGATTATAATTTTAAACAAGTTTTTACTTTATTATATTTGTCATCATAGATATAGTGTAACTTGAAATTATTACAGTAGACAGTACTTGTACATAATGACACTTGTTGAGTACAACATCATTATAAAAATTATGTTAAAACATTTGGTGAATTTCTCTGTATTTATACATATAACAGTCTGCTTAGCAATTGTAATAAATAGTATTCTTGTAAACACAATGAATTGTTTGTGTCTTTTTGTACGCCACTTTGAAGGGTATGTTTTTATATGAAACATTGTGACTGGATGTATTATGGGATTTTTTTCCTAAGAATATGAAAATTATCTGTATAATGGGCAGTTCATGACCAAAAGTTGGATTCCTATGAACTTGTTACCTTGGTGAAAAAGTTGAAAAAGCATGACTTGGCTTCCTATTACAGAACATATTCAGAGCATATATGGGAGAACTTACGGTATTAGATTGAATAACACAAAATACATTGTACTTTTAAAAAACGGACAGATGAGCATGAAATGTATACATAACCTGACAGTAACATTTACCTGTCAGACCAATTTACTCTGTGTAAATTTTTAGCTCCTGACAAGTAACCGCTGTTTTTAACTTTATGCTGACGTGCATGAAACAGACTGAATGAAGAAATTAAAAATATTAACTTTTCGTCATGAATGCTATCGTTTTGACTTTCGCGTTCTTACTCGGTGTATTATGGCACATCCGGCGCCCCGTAGATTTGAATTGCTCAACGGGAGGGATTGTTGTTGTCAAAATTTAAAGGGGAGACGGGATTCCGAAGAGCTTTCAAACCTTCATGTCTTTATATCTTAAATACCAAGTGGGGAAAAATATATACAGATTGAGTATTTGACTTCCTCGGAAAAGAACGAGCAGTGCAAGAAGCGAGTAAGTACATAACTGCAGGAAGACATGGAGCTGAGGTCTATAGGATAGCTGTGGAGCTTCAATGGCTGTCAGTTAGGACCGTGCCTTAGTATGCAAGCTAGCCAGCCAGCTAGCTGTTCAGTTGTGCATTAATCTCACACTGAGATATATCTTGACATTTTAGCATGTGTTTGATACCGCCGTATATCTCCCCGGCTTTGGGGAAGCCGATGGGTTTTGACTCGCTGTGGTTTGAATGTCTTATGCTGGTTCAGTCGGACCGCTAGTTAAATCCAACTGGAGAGACGGGTCAGTATTAAAAATGAGTAACAGTGCAGCCTTAGCGATACACGAAGTGAAGTCTCGAAACCCGCGCCACACATTTTGGCATTTCAGATCCATGTCAGTATTAGTGCATTTTAGCTACTGTGTGCCGTATTGCCCAAAGAAATCAGGCTTCATGTGTTTAGTTACATCACTTGATCGGTAGTTACACACAGATGATCCAGCCAATCCGCCAGCTGGCAAGTTAGCCATCCATACCAGCGGTGTTAGTGTCTAGCACTGTTACTAAAATAAGAGTTGATATAAAGACTGTTCTTTAGCTATAGATACTTTGATAGACTTTGTATTTACTGGTGATGATAAGGGAATAGTTCGTCGCCCTGGGTTAACAAGAATACACTGACATCACATGTAATATTTCAATTAAAAATACAGTTTATTTGGTACAGCGTTATGATGATCAGTGTAAACCCTTTCGATAAAAATAAAGCAACCCGGAAAACCAGCATATTTGATCAGTTAATATCTAGCATGGGACGTGTGGTTTCTTCGTGTGGTTTTTGCAGTGTTCAATGGTGCCTGACATCCATCCCCAAAAGGCGGCAAACTTTTGAGTTTATATTCCGGGGAAATCGTTTTTACAAAAGTTGGTGGGTGAGAGACGGATACTGTCGTGCGTCTGGCGTGACTTATTCCCGTAATCAGGGGACCGGAGGGCTGGCTGGCTGACAGACGCCCCTGGTGCCTGGCCGCCGTCCCACGCCTGTGCCGTTTGTGAGGTGTGACTGGATGCTTGGCGTCTGTTGTGGCCCGTTTTGCAGCCGCTGAGCAGAGTGCCGATTTCGTGGAAGCAGCATGAGCTCAAAGGGGGGAGGAACAGCCCTGTCCCGCCGGAACTACCGCTTGGCCGTGGACACGGATAAGCCCAGAGTGACGGGTGAGTGAGGGCTGGGCATCCTGATCACTGCTGTGATGGATCACCATTGGTTTGGGAGTTCATTCGTGTGTAATTGTATTTGGTTTCTGTCTGAGCAATTCAATTGATTTTCTTTTCTGCGATGTCCCCGATTTTGTCAGACCCAATTTTATTTACCTGATAAACTCCAGCTAACTTGAACCATCCCCCTCACTGCCTTTATTCAGCATCTACAGTCTGAGGAATTATTGACAGTGTCAGTCATCACATTATATAGACAAGACCTTCTTGATCAGTCAAAAAAGTAATCTAGCACATATTTTGACTTCTGTATCTGTATTCCATAACTTATACTGGGAATAACAAGGCACATAGCACATTGTGTTTAAAAGTCCTAAATCGTAGTTGCCTTAAAAATAATTAAATAAAATGGCACACTTTATGAGTGATGTTTATATACAAACTTGGTTTGTTCATCTGGATTTTTTCACAGCACATTTCTTTCCCCATTTGGCCTGTTAAATGTATTTATTGTTGGGGATCTACAGAAGATTTAAACTCGTTTACTGTGTCTTATTGCTTATGCCTGCAGGTTTAGCTATTATGTCATCAGTGTTTTTGTTTACCCCCACCCCTCACCCCCCGAATAATAATATTGAGGTTTAGTAACATTTCCGTAGCCCTCGTGGGTGTGGATGGATGCTGAGTCTGAGCCAGTTATTGCTTTTTGAAAATATCTTAAATCACGACAAAGAAGAAAGAAAAAAAACCACACACATCCATCATTCCTACACTTCCCCTTAAAGGCAGGGAATGCAAGAAAAGTGAACACATTCAGGGACCTTTTGACCTTTTTAGTTGTCTTTGCTTTGACGGATCGATTGGAGGAGCTGAAGGCTCTGGTGGGAATGATCAGGATAGCCAGGGTGGGAATAGGCTTTGGGAAGCTGCTTTAATGTATAGGCTTATCCAGGCCAAACCCCTGGGCCACAACTAACTTTTTAAAATTAATTCCCCCCCAGCTGACTACTATGCCATCATAGATAATTTAACCTTCTGTCAACTGAAATAGCCCAGGGGCCTTCGACCATGTTAATGTGCCTCTGTGTTTGCCTTCTCTGCTTAACTAGGTATTGTGAATGAGAAGCTGCTCAGTGACTACCTGCACCACGTCTTCCCTCCTTCGGGCAAACCGGGACAGTCTTCAGCTTCTCTTCGGTAGGCCTTGGGTTTTTTGTTGTTTTCCGATTGTTTTTCTCAAAGTGAGCTAAGTTTGTAGCCATTGTTACAGCTGGATGCTTTAACTTGTGTAGTGGAGACCTTCCTGGGACACAGAGCTGCAACCTGCAGCTCCTGAGTCAGTTCCCTTAATCACCACGCCACCTGCAGGCCGCTTGTCCTCTGGAGCTCTTTCTCCAAAGCATGTGTGGAGCCCCATGTGGACAGAAGCGGTCTGTTCCTCCTGCCAAAGCTGGTCATAACTAGGAATTTTGTAAGTGCTTTGGCTTTTGGAGGAAGGACATGAAAAGAATTCTAAATTTTTTAAGTGTATTTTTTCTGGTGACTCTTTTAACTTCGTAGTGCCTATAATTCTACTTTTAATAATATTCCATCGTTACGTTCAATCATTTCTCCCTCAGATAATTTAAGTTTCAATTCATTGGGCCCTGATGTCACCCTGATACCATGTAACAGAGTGCAAGTAGTGTACTGTACTGTAGTGCCATCTCTGCTTTCCTCGGGAGATCTATAGATAGAATATGATAGGTGCACATGGAAATCTGAGAGTAAAAAATAGAGTAGCTAAGTGGGGGGGGGGAATCACAGTTTACTGTGCCTTCCACGGGGGCTGAATTTCACTCCAGCTTGCAGGGTCACACTCAACAAATGGATCCATCTAACACCATGAGTATGACTGAGTCTCACCGAGCTTTATTGTAACATTTGAGCATGGTTTGTGTAGCTAAACATAATGGAAATGCTTTCATTATGTACAAAAACACAGTTATTCAGTATAAGTCTCACCTCACCATATTTGACATGTATTTACTGCGACATGTATTTAACATGTTTTAACTGGTTTGTTTTGCAACTCTCTGCTCCCTGGAATAAAGTCAATCTGAAAGGCATTTCTGTCATTGGCCAGGACTTGAATATTGATGGTGACGTCAGTTCTTGGTTGTTCTTGGTTGGCCATCCTGGACTTGTTTGTATCTGATGGGGTTGGGCTGGTGTTCTTGCAGGAAACCTCTCACCTTTCAGGACCTTCCTGCTCACCTGGAGAAGCTGCTGTCTGAGGGGGTGCCGTTGGAGGATGGAAGAGGTCGGAACCCACCCTGACCTTTCCCTCAACCCCTTAAATGGTTGTTGCTTGTGTCAGGAAGTCTGTTAGTTTGTCTTTAGCTTAATTAAGCAGCCCATAGCTCGCGGGACACACACTGACTGAATCGCAAAGCTCATGAGATGCGGGTGGTGTAACCGATGGTGTCGCTCATGCTGTGTGATCAGACATTTTACTCACTGCCAAGAACATCGCTAGTTCCCCAGTGCTGGCTGATTGGAGATGGGGAGCTCTCAAAGACCTGTTCAACATCAGTGTGACGTCTTGTGATTCTTGCATGTCCCACTGTGAAACACTATCTCTGGCCATCTGTGGTATTTTTTTAGTAAATAGCCAGGAGATAATTAAATGTCGTCATTGTTTTAGCGCAGTTGGTTTAGGAATGCCGGACCTTCTGTTGTGTATAGTACATGCAGTTTAGAGTCATTTATCACTGTTTACATATAATTTTTCTATCAATAGTTCTGTAACAGTTGTGGGGGCAGAAGTCTGTTGAAACAGGTCTGTGATATCTTGGAATGGTTCCACAGTGTCTGTTTGAATCATTGCTGAAACGTTTGACATGTAATAGGTTTTGTCCTGTCTTCTCCCTAGATATGCCTATGGACGGCCGTCTTGGCCCGTCCACCGTCGTCCTGGATCACACCACTGGCTTTGAGGGACTCCTCTTTGTGGACGATGACCTTTTAGGGGTAAAATGCTTGCCTTGGGCCATGGTTTCTGCAGGCATCAGAGCTTTGCTCTTCTCGCACATGCCAAGGCTCATATCTGGCACAGGAGTGAAATTCAGAGACTGGCAGGCATTCTTCTAAAGCTGAGCTAGTATGCCGCTACCTTCTGTTTCATGTTTGTCCAAGATGGGGTTGGTAAGATTCTTTATGTAGCTGCAGGATGCTAGCCACTGTGTGTGTCCACATAACTCTGTGTACTATGGAAGGACCTCTTACAACATGAGTCGTCTTTCCTTTTTTATTTCTGTCTATTTACTTCTGTTTAGTTACTGTCAGCATTTGTTGTTTTTTTAAGGTCATTGGTCACAGCAACTTCAGCTCCATAAGGGCCACTACCTGTGTCTTCAAAGGTAAATTCCATAGAAAGGCTAACAAATTGAATGTGTAAATGTGTACATCAGCTTCAGTGATCCTTATTTCTTTTCCCTTTGTCTAGGAAAGTGGATCTACGAGGTCCTCATCTCTTCGCAGGGGCTGATGCAGATAGGTTGGTGCACTTTGGACTGCAGGTTCAACCAGGAGGTGAGGCTGCTCCTCAAAAGGCAGCAGTGATCCCATGGCTGAATTCCTGCATAGCTTCATATTCTGCTTCCCCTCTTCCCATGCTTCCCGCTCCTACCAGGAAGGAGTTGGAGATACGCCAGACTCGTATGCCTACGACGGGAACCGGGTGCGCAAGTGGAATGTCACTACCACTAACTACGGCAAGGTGAGTGGACGCCGGGATTCTGGGGTTTTTACAGAAGGACGCACATTGCCTGCAGATTCTTAATGTCCTGGTTTGTTACATTGGTGTTGTTGACAAAAGTGACCAGAGACTGTATGGAAGTTGGTTGTCGCTACATATTAATGTCATCTCCAGGATCGGCCATGCGTTACCTTTCCTGAAGGTCTTTGTTTTCATAAATGAAGACACACATTGATGAGATTTTCTGAATTAGATTATTGTCCTTTCCTAATTTATGTATATATTTTTACGGAGTGTGTTCTTTTTCCTAGTCCTGGGCAGCTGGGGACATTGTAAGCTGCCTGATAGACCTAGATGATGGGACCATCACATTTTACCTGTGAGTTGACGCCTGATTGGAGCCTCGGCCCTATGCCGACGTGTCTTCACGTCTCTCTCTGTGTCCCATTAGGAACGGCCAGTCCCTCGGCATCGCCTTCAGTAACATTAAGATGGGTCCGGGCATCGCCTACTTCCCAGCCATTAGCCTCTCCTTCAAAGAATCGGTAGCATTCAACTTTGGCAGCCGTCCACTGCGATATCCTTACAGCATTGTTCTGAAGTTCACTGGCTGGCCCTATGGAGCAGTGTCGTCACTTTTTGACAGGTCTGACATTGTGTTGGGTTTTTTGAAGCCTCAGAGGCTGTTGTGCTGTGAAAGTCACTTCAACCCATTCCTGGGGGCCGCTCCAGGCAGTTAACATATTTGCTCCCCCCCCAGCTGCAAGTACACCTGAACCAAATAATCAAGAACAAACCAAACAATTAAGAGCACTGAATACTGGGTTCAGTTGTGCTAGGAGCTGGGGGTCTGAGGGTCCCTGAGGACTGGATTGAGAAATACTGTTCTAAACAGAATTTGTTACATGTCAATTCTTGTTTTTAATGATAATTTCTAGTCATTGCTGCTTCCAAGACTGCATCCTCACCTGATATGTCCATCAACTGGCACATTGGATGTGTTAATGAGACACTTGCTTTAGAGCTCCTTAATTCTGCTTTCATGCACATACCCCGTGGAAGGCTACTCCCCTCTGCAGAACCCACCTACTGGTGACCTCCTCAAAGCTAACAGGCTACTGGGATACATCAAGACTGTCGTATCCACCACGATCGATACACAGGTGCATCTGTCAATACCATCAGCTTTTTTGGCATGTATCTGTATGCTGGTGTTACTGCCTTTGTGGGGTCAAATATTGAGAAAGCTATTAAAGAACAACAAAAAGCACATTAATTTTATTGTATAGGCTTTTTTTTCAGTTGTTTGCTCTTGTTAGTATGAGATTACGAATCATTAATTGAGTGAATGTTAGACTCAGGGACGTCCCCTGAGAATTGGAAACAAAGGCATGAGGGTCACTTGTCTGTGGTCATCTTCAAACAGTCTAGAAGTTAAGCTGTAAATCTGGATGTTGTGTTTCCTGCCTCCAAAGTTTCTTCTGATTCTACTCCGTGCTAGGAGGGGAAGCTGTTGGAGAAAGACCGCTCAGTCTGGCAACTGCAGGGGGAGCCCACCGTCTTGGTCACGCTGGCCCACATCTTCAACTACTTTGCCCCTCTTATGGTCAGCTAATGCTTTTGTCTTTCTTTGTTTTGAATGGAAAGACCCATTGCTGGAAATTGTACTGATTATATTTCTGAATCAGTAGTACCCTACCACAGGGTTTAGTGGCAGGCTTTGTTCTGGCCTAGAGTGATGCAGTTTTGCATTATGAATCCTTACGTGTCTTCAACCACAGTGTTCCTTCTTGTGCAGAAAAATATTTACTTACTATAAACAAATATGAACTATTAATTAAACAATTTAAGTTAATTACCAAATAACTATACTGATCCAGCAGTTAATCCATAGGATTGTCGAAGATCTTCAGTAGCTTTACTTATGTACTTCCTGTTTTTGGAAAGTGGATTTTCATTGTAAATTTCCTGGATACACAGCAAGTTATGCGTATTAGCTCAGAAAGATTACACACATCAAAGTGCTTTGAAGGAATACAAACAGTTTTTTTAGTAAATACTAATTCTGGCTAAGTAATATTTGTGATTGGTAAGGGTGTCCTTCATGCTCTTGATGTATATCTGTCATGTAGCTGCTGAACATGACGGTGAGTGGTTTTCTGTCTGCAGTGTAAGGTCTACCTTGTGGAGGATGTTCTCATGAACTTCCTGCTCAGCATCCTGGAAGGAGGAGGCTCTGTGGATGAGCATCCTCTAATCCAGCAGCTCCTGGACCTCTTCTGGCTTCTCATGGAGGTTTGGATGCTGATGCATTGTTGAAAGCTTGACTTGCTTTCTGCTGTGTGGGGACATGTTGACGGTCTACAACCAGAACACTTTGACTGCTTCTCAACTTTTTCAAGCTCCTGTATCTGACATATATTATGGATTTACCTTGAAGTAGGCCTTGGACACTTGGATTTTGACATTTCTTCTCCTCATCATATCTGCCCTTTATCTTTTTTTTGTTCTGATTAATATGGTATGACCTTAACTGCTTTTGTGTTTCCATTTGATTCTGTTTTTAACTTGTTCATCCACTTGTAAAATACCTAAGCCTATTGGGCAGCCATGCTAGGAAGGGCACTAAATAATGAACTGAACTCATGTATTTGACTCTGCAATGCCCCCCCTCCAGGACTACGAGGTGCATGAGTGCCTGAAGCAGCTGATGATGTCTTTGCTGAGGGCCTACAGGTTTTCCCCCATCATCCCGGATCTGGGCTTCCAGGTGAGAGTGGATGTTGAGGGCCTGGCGTCGCAGCGGGAAACACAATGGACACCCACACGATTTTGACCGATTGTGTGCTTGTGCGGGAACTGGTCACTGAGGGGCGGTGTCTGCGTAGGCATTTCCTGTCAGATCTTTGTTACAAAACAGAGCAGCAGTCAGACTTTTAGTCACTGAGCACTGATGTATTTCTTGCTGAGATTTTATGTGAGCCACAATTGGTATCATTGGTTGGTTTGACCCAGGTAGAGTTGACAAACTAATAAACAGGAAGTGGGTTAGACCCACTTCCTGTTTGTCTGATTCAGAACAGATGATGATCCTACTCTGCTCTTGTTTCAGTGGTTTATTTATCCCCTTCGTTTTTTCCCGGGATTTCTTATTGCACCAGTTTTGATTTCTGGATACTCTTCAGAGTCACATGAGGGATTAAAAAACAGGAAAAAACAATCAAAACATATATATGTATTAATGTGGACTTAGAGGTTCGTCAACCATCAGTTCAAAGTTAAAAGTGGAATTGATTATTCTAAATGATGAAAACTATTTTTATGTAGTTTCTGCCTTTCATGTAGTTAACAGGCAGATATTTGCCTGATAAAGGAGTAAACATCACAGTCTTGTGTACTGTAAATGAGCTTATGGTGAACGGGTTTGAGTGTTTGAGTGATAATGATTTAGTGCTCCACACTGACATACAACAGAATCATATCCAGCCTGAGCTCGACCTCTGGTCATTAGTAACAGGGTCAAGTCCATCTGGATGCTAATTGAATTCGAGATTGGTTGCTTTTATCTTTGGAGATATTTACCGAAAAATCACAGTTCAAGTTTATCGTAAACTCTGTCTCCTTTTGAAACTGCAGATCCACTATTTGCGCTTGACGACAGCTATTCTTTGCCATGAAAAATCTCGGAAGTATCTCCTCAGCAATGTTTTATATCCTTTTGTTTGTAACCTGTCCAGTTATGAAGGTGTTTTATGAGGCTGTATTGTGTGATTTATTAGTTTAACATGTATGACCCTTTTATATATGGACTTAGATTAATGTATAAGCTTCTCTCAAAAGTAATGTGATGATGCATTGTATAGGTGTTTTAAAAGTGTTTAGTCATTTTTGTGATCCATAAGCTACAGTCCTCTTGGCTGGCAAAGGGAAAAAAAAATAGCGCATGGTTAATAAAGATTTATGGATACTTTCCAATGCAGAGATTTTAAGGGCACAGGTTACAAATTAATAGGCAGAAAAGAATCAGAATAAAATCCCGGAATGGATCTTAGTAAGACATCATGGCTGCTGTGCACACCTACATCTGTTTGTGGTCTTGTGTTCTTCTGCATTTGAATGTCAATGTGTTAGTGTTCGCTGGCGCCCCCCACTGGCTACTTCCCTTAGCAGAGTCACATTTGATGTCCTGCGCTCCGTGGTCTTCTTCTACATCAAGACCCCGCTGCGGGTGAAGGAGGCTGGCCTGGAGGAGCTCATCCCCACCACTTGGTGGCCCACACGCTTTGACAAGGAGGTAGGGCTTATGGTACTGTCATATAACCTTTAGTGTAGCAAAGTATAGTGTAGTATAGAAGAGTATGATGTAGTGCTGTTGCAGTCACTGAAATATGGCTCCCTTTGTGACAGCTCAGCTCCTGAGTATTTATAAGGATGGCACTTAATTTCCACCTAGACTGTAATCAACCCTGTTTGCCCAAGAGGTTCGCAGACATGATCCTGAGGGGAGCTTACATGATGCGTCTTTTCTTTCAGCTGACATTTTAATTAATCTTGGGTGACTGAGCTTTCCAATCAGGAACCTGTTTGCGTTTGTTAGCTTTTTAAATTTCATTTTGCATGTGTATATCTACTGCTGAGTACTCTAAGGGACTTCTGTTCCCTATCATAACACTTCAGGAGAAATACACCCATAACACTGACACTGATAGCTACATAACGGATAAACAGAACAGAACAATTGATTAATCCTAAATATGTATGTATTTCCTAATAGAATAGGTTTGGGGGTAACTTTAACATCGTGTCTCCTTTTGTGTTTAGAGAATTTTGACTTCTATTAATCTGTAGGAGTGAATATAGAGTGAAAACAGAAAACTTTTTTCTCTCTTATCTTTGGGGTTGTGGGGATTTGAACCAGCAGCGTTCAGGTTGCAAGTTCACTTTCTGTCTCTGCAGCCCCTATGATATATTTCCCAGAATGCACCACAGGGAACAAGGGGTGCATCTAAATTATGTGACACAATAATTTAATATCCCTCTGAAGCCTAATTCATTCCGAGCTCAGCAGGACTCAGAGCCTGGATATTCATTCTGAGTCTTAGGTTTTTCGGGGATGCCTTTTTGATGTAGTGGTACAAGCTTAAAAAGGTTGATCTGAAGTAGCTGTCTAACTGCTCAGCATGGGAATGCAGGTAGCCGTGGGGGAGGAAATGAGGTTTAAAACCCCCTCCTGGTGTCTGCTGTTTATCATCGGCTGATAAGATCGACAGCATGCAGTAATCCTGGCCCAGCACAGACCAGGAGTCCGCATTCCTCCCATAAAAGCCCGCGAGGTCCCACTCAATCAGCCGCTTGGCGTATTAACAGCTGGAATCCCAGCACAGGGGGTGACAAAAACATGGCGTTACATTTATTTATTTAGCAAACACTTTTGCCAAAGCGTCATTCATGAGAGGAATAGAAAGTAGGGTCAGCTTTGTGGGAGAAGCTGGCTTTAAGGCAGCGGTGGCCAATCTTATCTGCAAAGGGCCGTGTGTATGCAGGTTTTTGGGATAACCTTTAGGTCAGCTGTTCAAGCCCAGGTGTGAGGACTCTTCAGCCAATCAGGCCTCTAATTAGTGACCTACTTAGGGAGTTGCAGCGAAAACCTGCATACGTAAGATTGGCCACCCCTGCTTTAAGGGCTTTGCTTAAAGGCCCAATGGTGATATGATTACTCTGCCAGTGAGATTTGCACCCATTAGGTGTTTCACCATCCGGTCCTCGGGTGCCGCCAGACAGTCCACATTTTTGCTCCCTCCCAGCCCTCAGCCAGACAGTCCAGATTTTTGCTGGTAGGGAGCAAAAACATGGACTGTCTGTTAGCACCTGAGGACCGGGTTGGGAATTGCTGTATTAGGTTATGAGCGCAGACCTCTCAATTAGTGTCTCCCAAACCAGTCCTCAGGGCACACTGGGCAGATCCACATTTTTTGTTTTATCCCAGTTCCCAGCACATCTGTAAGGTATTTATAGCTTCTGATTGCTTGGGTCAGGTGTTTTGGGGACTGGGATGAAACAAAAATGTGGAAACAAAAATCTGTCCAGTGTGCCCCGAGGTCTGGTTTGGGAAACACTGCTCTAAACCACTGAGCTACATGCCGCCCAGCACAATAAACGGCAATGGGGGCAACCAGGGTTGAGAGTAACGCTTTGTACTCCTCTGTCTTTGGCTCTAAAGGGGAAGGACGAGCGGGAGCTTCGGGAGGAAAGCGCAGAGGAGAGGCTGAGGCGTCGGGCGTATGAGAGAGGCTGCCTGAGGCTGAAGAAGAGGATTGAGGGTAAGCGGTGGCCTTCAGCTCATCTGTCCCTGGAAGAGCATCTTCTGAGGTATGCCCAGTCCAGGCTTAATGCATCTCCGTCTGCCTGGCCCAGTGGTGGAAGAGCTGCAGATCCAGATCCTGAAGCTGATGCTGAACAACAAGGACAAGGGGACGGTACGTGTCCGTCCAAGGAGGCCGCGGCCGCTCAGCCGTGATGTGGGCATCCTGAATGACGCACCACAATCACTCAGACACTCACTAATAAAGGGGCAACAGTAAAAACAGCTTGTCAGACAAAAGGTGCGAGAGTGACTGCGTAGTTTATACCTGTGAAATGTGTTCTTAAGTCCTTATTGTTTATGCACAAGCTATGCACTGATTGCTTTGAGTATTGCTCATCTGCATATTTAAATACCCCAAATATTCAAATAATCTAAATGACAAGTATAAGAGGCACTTTATTATCTACCCAGGGGTGTAGCTAGAAATTCTGGGCCCCCTGGAAAAGTGTCACCTCGAGTCCCCGTAGTGAATTTTGCTCACTAAGATCTTCAGGCCCCTATAAAGAGCAGGGTCCCCTGAATCTGCCAGTGCCTCCACAGCCCTGTGTGCAGCTAGCTAGCTTTGGGGGGGGGGGCCCGGCTTTTGCCCCCAGAACCTGTCGTGTTTCTGTGCACCGCTGTTGTTCTAAGCTGTTATTTTTGCACTTGTGTCCTTCCTGTTAGCTATGACGAGTCTGGGCGTTCTCCTCTGACCTCTCTCAATAACAAGGTGTTTCCAGACACAAAAACTACATTCTGTATAAACTCCAGACACTGTGGTGTGTGTAAGTCCCTGGAGGGGGTGGCTGCTTCTGAGATGCTGGAACCAGCGCATCTGGCAACCAGCAAATACTTAGATCACGTACGTTTGCCATTGTAATGCTTAGCTGCACAGTAACTGAGCCTCTTGATCCCGTCTGTGCGCAGTATGTATTGAGGAGCAAGCTGTTTGTGTTAATGAGCACGTGAACCTAATGAATTTTATGCTTTTTAAGCAAAACGTGCTTATGTACCAGAAACACAAATTGCTGTGTGCTGATGTGAGTGAGTTTTCAAGTAAGTGTCACCTCCCTTGGAGTCCATTACTGTAGTAGCTTCTAATCAGCCTCTCACACCTTCTGTGAGGATGTTCTATAAACGGAACCCTTTCATCTTGCTCAGGTCTATGGGCTATTTTTCCTGGACAGCCCATTTCAGGCCTGTCCACAGTATCTCTGTGGACCTGGAACAGCTCCTCTTGATACATTCGTTGGCTGAAGTTTGTTAGAATGTATGGAATGTATGGAAGGGAGACCTCCAGATGTTCCCACAGTTTTTTGGGAAGCTCATCTCACTGAGGCCTCCAGAAGACTTCAGACACAAAACACAGGTCGCAAATGTAAATTAAGGTGCATAGAGTAAAACAGTAAATAAAATTGCAGTGTGGCTCAGCGGGCTAAGCCTCTGTGGCTGTGATCAGAAGGTCATGGGTTCGAGCCTTGGCAGAATAGACACATGTCCATGGGCACTTGAGCAAGGCCCTTAACCGTCCAGCCCCAGGGGTGCTGGCTGACCCTCTGCTGTGACCCCCCCCAAGCTTGCTTACACCTTTATGTGTGTCTATTTGTCTTATGGAGAGCCAGATGGGGTTGGCAAAAAGAGAATTTCCCTCCTGGGGTTTAATAAAGTATTTCTATTCTATTCTATTCTATTCTAAATACACACTGACACAGTGCGATGTAACAGGTAGAGTTATGTAAACATAAGATTGGATAAGATTCATGGACCTTTCAATGTTGGAGAGTCGTGTAGAGGTTCACTAACTTTGAAGCTGGCTAAAATACACATAACTATGTAAGAGTGGTTGTAGCGTTGGTAAAGATGGCCGGCCTCGCCTTCTTGTTCTAGGGGGAGGCCTCACGGTATATATTCCTGAACAAATTCCGCAAGTTCCTTCAGGAGAACGCCAGCAACAGAGGGGTAAGGATTCCGGATTCCGGCTGATCAGGTGATCGAAAGGGGATGTGCTTCTGCGGCCCCCGGCCTGGGAGTGTCTCACGCTTGGCCGTCATCCTCAGAATCCCACGGTGCTCTGTCCTCCTGAGTACATGGTGTGCTTCCTCCACCGGCTGATCACCGCCGTCAGGAGCTGCTGGGACGAGGGCAAGAGGAAGGTTGCGGGCAGCATCTCCAGCGAAGGTACAGCGGAGGCCCATTAAAGCCAGTCCATTACTGGGGCGGGTGACCTTGTGACACGACTGCAACTGTGCACCGTTCATTCTTAGCCTCGTTACTTTAATGGTGAACTAAAAGCCTTTTAAAAAACACTTGCGGTGTACATTAGAAAATTATTATTATTGCTATAATAAAGCACTAAGGGGAAATGAAAACTATTTTCTGTTAAAGCGACAGGTTGAAATCACATATTGGTACAGATTTGAAATGTTCCTCCGGAAGTTTCTCTAACTACAATGAGGAAATAATAGGTACAAATTCAGGCCTTAATTGGTGTTTGATTACTCGAGTGGCACTTATGTCACTCAAATGAAATTACTTTTAAATCCTCTTGTAGTGTATTTGTAGAATTTTAAAGTGATTTATAGTGCCTGTGTTGGAAGGGGATTGTATATAAATGGAATTGATTTGAATTGAGCTGAATCTTTTTAGGCACAAAGTATTTGAAGCGTTTTTGAAGTCTTTGTGCTGAGGTAATTAAATTTTTCTGTCCTCTTTCTGTTCCTTTTTCTGACTGTTAGAGGGTTATGTTCCGCCACAATTATTTTACAACGGGAAGGTGGACTATTTCGACCTTCAACGCCTGGGGGGTCTGCTGTCTCACCTAAAGAAAACCCTGAAAGGTTTGTTCCTTTTTTGAGTCTGAAGGAAAGACTGAAATTAGCATCAGAAGGAGTGGATGGATTAATGGTTGGTCTTAAATTTTAACTGAAAGCATTGTGCTGTTAAATTTTGAATAGGAGTTGTAAGATAGTACCAGTGTTATTCAGGATGAGTGCCCAGTAACAATTACATTTTTGTGTAGCATCTAAATTAACTAATTAAAGTGGCACCTACTCCTGGGCTTCTGGGAGAAAAATGAAGTGAAGTACTTGGAGAAAACGTACCTAAACTTGGAGAGAATCTCCAAACATGTAGCCACACACAGACACGTAAACACATACATTCAAATTCCACTGGGCCTGAATTCAGACCCCCACCCTGGAGGGGAGGGGCAGGTTGTGGACCCACCCTAAATTAAACACTGAGATGTAAAATTAAGAAATATTTCTAATTCCTCCAGTAGTCCCATAACATACACAAACGCCTATTCCTGGGAGTTCCACTAGAGGGAGCAGTGTTTCCTTTTTCCTCAGAAATCTTATGAGAACCTAAATAATGCATCGGCTGCTTCTAATGTACCAGAAGCTGCTGCTGCTGCTGTTTTCACTAAATCCTCAGTAGGATGTTTGATTTATGGTCTCATCATTCACCAGCTTTGCTTTTACATACAAACTCTCTATCCTTTCAGACCATTTTTTTTTTAGCTAATAGTAATATTCTCGGTAACGTTGATAGAATGTTTCCGTCTGACTTTCTGCATAATGTGAAGTTCTGGTTCTTAGCAAATATTACATGTATGCCTTTTGTATTTTAAAGATTTAAAGCATCCTGTGCTGTACACTTTATATTGTTCTTTAAAGTGCAAGAACGGAAGAAAAACTGAGTGAAATTGGATAAACATGAAGGCTTTCTTGCGGTAATTCATCCTTAAGTGCAAATCTCGCTTTCCGCAAAGCTGGAGAGGCAGCGTCCTGTCATATTACATATCTGGACACATTTGCTTGTTTTCCCCCGAGGCACATATTGGTTATCGTATCGCCGTGGTAATGCCTGTTATCTGCTGAGGGCATCGGGCACATAGTGGAAGCGTGGAAGCTCGGTACCCAGAAGGAAATAAAGACTGATGGATATCGACCACTGCTTTGGTAACGAAGGACGAAGGAAGGCGAGGCCTTTGCAGCTGGGCCTGAAAGGGCGGGGGGGCAAAGTCGGCCTCCTGTTTTTGCTGTCTGGAAACCCCCCCCCCCTTCTCTGGGTTGTTTTTTTTCTCCAGGAAATTAGCCATATGGTTGGCTGGGTCTCAGGGATTGAACCTGTGAGATTAAAGTAAAGAACTTAGGATGTGATTTGGTGTGTGGGTGTGTGTGTGGGTTAAGTTTATATTAAATTTTCCCCCCACAATATGATAAAAACCTGTTATTTTGACGTTGACCATTTTTCAGGTCCCCACAAAGATCTGTGAATGCAATCAAAAAATTAAAAATGCTCGAAGTCTCGTATGTTGTTTGGTTACTTATGTTTGAGGTTAGGGCTGGGTAGGGGTTAAGGATATCGTGATTGGGATTAGGGTTTTTCACATAGAAATTAATGGATGGTCCCTACAAAGATATGAATACAGGTCTGTGTATGTGTATATGTGTGTGTATGTATTTGTGTGTGTGTGTTCCACAGTTTGATTCTTACAGGGTTGTTACTCATGTCTCCGTCAGAGAGGATCAAACGGCGCCTTTTCCCATAAACCCTGTTCCCCCCTAATAGGGCTTCCTCAGCCTTTACCGAAGCAGCCCTGATTTCATTTAGCGCACCGTTGTCTTCTGTGCTCTTAATGCTGATTACCTCTGCTTCTAATGCTATTTCTAGTGCTGAGCAGTTAAACACCAATACGGGATTTTCACTACTGCTACTGCCTGGCAGATTTCTAGCTCCTCGTGTGAGTTCTGCAACCTGCAGACCTGCAGACTGTGAATACTGCTGGTTTTAATGTCAGCTATGATCAAAGTAATAAGTAGCAGAGATAGTAATCCGTAGTGTCTATTGGCCATAATTACAGTGGTAATACTGTGGACCGTAAAAACCATAGTTATTATAAAAAACATTATTGCCAGCACAGTGGTCATTATGGTAATAATAAACAGCATCATCAAACATCATGTTGAGTCTGTGACCTGTCGAGCCCCTGTAGCATATTCAGGTCAGCAGTCATCCACATTCAGCGCTGTTAACAGCTCAGGAAATGCGTCCCATTAATTACAGGGAGCATGGTGGGGGCCTTTTAATGGCCCATGGATTTCGGGCTGTATCATTGTATTCATTCTGCGCAAACTGAGATGGGAGGAGCTGATTTCAGACCACGGTCACACCTGTCTGGTGCAGTAATGGGGGGGCCCGGAACATCTTTGAGGACGTGGTACGTTTTTTTTTTTTTGGGTAATCACGGCTGATCAAAGGCTCAGAGTAATCACAAGCCCCCCACCCCGTGGGGTAGCGCTCTGAATGCATTCTGGATTACGATGGGTAAGTGCCCTGAGTTTGCTGGGCAGTGAGCAGCAGTGGTGGCTGTGGAAGTAGGGAATGAATGGCGAGTGTCTGTCACGTAACCACGCCTGTTGGGGGCTGCGTCACTGTAACACCTTGCAGGTTTATGGATTAGACCTTAAATTTTTATAGTGTTGCTGATTTATGGCTTTGGTGATCACTTGAGTAAACACAATTTATGGTCACTTAGAGGTCACTTCTGAAGGTGTTATGCAGCCTCTATATCGTAAAGCATTTGAATAATGAAACTGTATTTTTCTTTTTTTGTTCTTGCTTTTGATGGCGAGTGTGTCAGATGGAGTGTTTGGTCTTCACCAATCCCCCCCCCCCAGTCTGCATGCCGTCTCATGTTATCGCTCTGGGGATGCGAGAGAGCCTGTAATAAATTGACCAGGATGTCTTCCTTGCTGCCTGTGCTCTTCTGCATCCTTCCCGTCCCCCGGCGTGAGTTTCCGTCACTCCCCGCTCGTTCAGCTGGTCGGATTCTCGGTGTGTTTCAGATGATTTGGCCTCCAAAGCCAACATCATCATTGACCCCGCTGAGATCCAGGCCGCTTCCATGGATGACCTGGATGAGGACGACGAAAGCGGAATAGCCCAGGTATGATTGGAGTACTTCATAACTGTCCTTGGTTAATGATACTGTCAAACACATGATTGTAAGAGGGCCAGCTGAAAAGAAAGGCCTACCTGTCTCTGTCTGTGACCAGCAGCGGCCGTTGGGTGCGGTGGCCACAGGGGGAGCTCTGGCTCGGCCCAGTTGGCTGAGCTCCCCGACGCTGGGTAGAGCCAACCGCTTCCTTAGCACCGCTGCAGTCAGCCTCATGACCCCTCGCCGCCCTCTGGGGCCCCCAGAAAAGGTCAAAGTTCGTACCTTAGCTGTTGAGCAGAGAACAGAGGAGGACAGTAAGTATGCGTACATGGGGTGTTTGCAAAGATATGTGTCTGTAGTGCTTGCCATTCGTGAAATGCAGATTACACCTAGCAGGAAAACAAAACTTAAGAGGGAAAAGAAAGTTCTGACAGGGTTAACGAAAAAAGTTATTTTAGCATGTGTATTTTGATCTTTATTTTTTAAACATGAAATGACATCTATGATTGATAAGAGACAACTTACTGTTACCTCATTCCTTGCACCCCCCCCCCCACTGTACCTAGTTGAGGGAAGCCATGGTAACGATGGGCTGTTGCTGGGGCGACCGCCAGAAGAACCCGAGCAGCCAATCACGGAGAAGTCCTTGCTAGAGCTTCTGGATGGCATCGTGATGATGTATAACTTAAGTGTTCACCAGCAGCTGGGGAAGGTGAGTGGAGTCAGCTGACGCCTCGTGGAAAGGCTTCATTCTCTGTGTAGGGAATAGAGGGTCCAGAAGGAGGCACCTGAGATGTTTGGTGAGGGCAAGGCATGTAAGGCTTTCAGTCAGAAGGGACTGGAGACTCTTATGTAGTACTGCCAGCAGTAAGCACTGTAAAAGGTATAATATACATTAGTGTTTATCACCTAAGGGTCTTAAGTAAGAGGCCTAAAGGAAGCACAGGTAAGTGGGGAAGGGTTTTTCCAGAACTCTCCCTGCTGTTAAAATGACCTTCTTCAGGACCCACAGGCTATGGCTAACAAGTCGTGGTAAGTCAGGTGGGCACTGGAGCTTATGCAACAGCTTCTCTATCGCTGGATGACCTTGATGGGGGGAACAGGGCAGCACTACCTTCCACGTCGATGTCTGTGCAGATACACCGGTTTGTTTGTTCTCGTTATAAGGAAGCAGACGTGTGGTGTTCTGTTTTAGCACCTCCACCATCAGTCTGCGTGCTCGTTTGGAGCTCTCTGGTGCACGCTGTATGTGTTCGATGCCTTATTAAGGCCTGCTCCCCTTTCGCGTCCGATAGGGATTCCGTGATGAATTCCCCTTCTTTAACGAGTGGGACCCTTCGGAGAATGTTCTGAGTAAAGGATATTGGCCACTAAATCAGTCCTGCCGTGAGTAGTCTTTTATGCCATTTTCATCACAGCCTATACTGTCGACATGGAGCATTGAAGGGCAGCCTCATTTAGTCACATTTTCTCAAAATCCATTCAAGTTCCTCGATTTGCATCCATCTTTTTGAGACAAGACATATGACCCTTTCTTCTCCTGGACTACAATCATTAAAATCTTTTAGCCAAGCTGCCCATAACCAGGGTATTGTTATTCACTTCTCAGCTAAGTTTCAATTTCACTTTGTATTTTATAGCGCCTTTCACAGCGCAGTTGCCCTGATGCACTTAACACGAATTACTCTCTGATAGCATAAGACAGTAGCGCTTGTCTATACCTTCTACATCTAGACTCGAGTGCTGCTTTCGGCTTGCCAAGATTTAGACGCACAGATTTCTTTGCAAGATTGGGGTGTTTTTTGTCCTGAGTGACTTCAGAGAGGAGCTGTTCCAGAAGTTATGGATCAGCAAAATCTTTGGTCAGACCTCGTGATGATGCGTAGTGATCTGTGATGACCGCTTTTCTGGGTTGCACACAGCTGGTGTTTTAGACGGGATCCTAATTTGATTATTTAGGCCTGGCCTGTGAGCTTCTGCCAGAAACTTCCAGCAGAACTCTGGGAGACCTGCCGGCCGTGGGCGGACTCCATGATGCATGGCCGTCACAGTCAGCATCGACCCTCACGCGTGGCGGTGTGTGAAATGGACGCTGATGCGCTGGCAGGCGCATGAATCATTGCAGTCCGTGCTTTGCTGAGCTTGTTTTTTTCTGCCATTGGATGTCGTAGACAGGTGAGCATAAAACGAAACAGCAGAGTATAAACTGTGGCGGCAAGAGGATACGCTACCCAATCCGTGAAAAAAAACACTGCATCAGCATTCTGCATCTGTTGGTGTTTACTTACGTAAACTCATTCGATGCTTATGTTAACTCATTCAATGAACTTGGCTGTTTTGACTGTCTGCCTGTTAAAACTGGGGTATTTCTGAGGTGATGTACTTATATTAATTTTAGTTGAGGAACTTGCGTTAAATATTAATCTTCGACCAGAATACCGGTGTTATGTCTCGTTCCACAGCAGCCATACCACTGAATCGAATTACTTGTTTTCGGACTGTAACACTTGGACGACCCAAACGCCATGTGACATTTATTTGAAGTCAGCTTTTGATGTCACTCCCAACAATATACAGCTGCTAACACTGGAACTGTGCAGCTGTACGTCAGTCAGTGTGAATGTATAAATATTTACAGGTCCTCTTTCCTTCATCTCCTTCCCCTCCGCAGAAAGGCCATAAAACATTTTAACAGCCCGGCCTTGCCTTGTTGAAAAGATCAGATTTGCAGACTAATTCAAAAGCGAAAGGGGCTGCTCTCATTCCGAGGGAATGTCAGGCTCTGGGTGCTGAATTTTTCGTTGGACTCAAATCGCATCTCGTGTTATTGTTTCAGGAAGCAGACCCGGGCAGATAAGTGCGAGAGGCCGGCTTGGCTTGTCTGTTTATTGAGCTTTATATCTGCAAAGGCTTACATGCGCTAACTTCCTGACACCCAGAATTAAATGAGGATACTGCTAGCGTAGCAGAAAATGGCTAGTAAACGGAATGAGATTTTGCTGGTTGCTGGGTGAGTGTCTCTGGAAAGACAAAATGGAGAAAAAGGCATTGGAATGAGATGGAACCTCAGCTGTGTTCCATGGGATTTCAAGTTGGGCTGTTGGGCCAGGTCAGCTGCATACCTTAAAACCCGGATATTATACATTCTTGTAAACATGATTCTGAATCACACACCCGAATCCAGTAGTAAGCTGATCATGGAAGAACTGGCTTCAGTTTTGGAACTGTTAATGCCATGCCAAATAAGAAAAAAAAGATTTACGACTTGCAATAAGACTAAGGGAACGGAAATAATGGGTAAAAAATGATCTCGGCATTCTTAATTGCTCAGTGCTAAAATTCAACAGCATTGACAGAATGACTAAGAAACCCTGTTTTATGTTCATCTGCACTGCTGACTGCTGACAGACATGCCAGGATGTACTTTGTACGGATGCATATTCACTGTAGACATTCTCTCCTGGCTTTTCCCCTCTTGGCCATGTTTTTGTCACCCTGTAGGTTTTGCTGTATGCTGACAGTGACATTGCTGCAGCTCCCAGCTCTGTCACGTTCGCCAAAGTTAATTCAGTCACCTAAGCCAGCCCTGGGAAGCGGCCTAATCTGTGTGGCTAGTTCACTAACCCCTGCAAATGTTTTTGGCAGAGCAGGCGCTTAAACCCCTGAAAGACTGCTAGTCAGCTTTTTTATTGTGTCCTTTGTTTTTCTGTCTCTTTATCCAGCCGTATGCAGATAGTTTCATTACATTTTGCTTATTTAGCAGTCACTTCCATCCAAAGTTTTTGAAAAGGCAGGGACAGACGGTCCCTTTAGCAACTGGGGCTTAAGGGCTTTGCTCAGGAGTCCAGTTGTGAACTGTACTGACCCTGGGATTTGAACCAGCAACCTTCTGCTCACAGACACAGCATCCCATACAACCCAGTTGATGTATATGATGCACATTTGTGGTTGATAAATGTATAAAAGAGTGAAGAAGTTCATGTCAGTGCAAATAATGTACCATATGTACAAAACTGTACAATATGTGCCAAATTAATACAATGCGTACCGTGAGATATGTACAAGAATGAGGTATTGTATGGTAATGGGGTATCAGTGTACACTGAATAAGTTTATCAGTATCTGTTCAAATTCAGTGCTTCAATGGAGCTGAAAAACACTCATACGTGTTGAGTGTGCAGTGAGTGGAGCTGGACAGGAAGATTAACGATGTTAAGGGCAGAGCCCTGTTTGTTGACTGTTTCTTGTTTTATGGGGCTATTATCAGACCTGGACCTAATTGTAACTGAATGTTTCAGTTTAATGGGATCTTTTGCGTTGTGAATGTTGAATGTAACATGCAATGAAATGTCCCCACAAGGTAAAAAAAAAAAAAACATTTTTAATAAAATCATTGATGACTTCCCAGAATCATAATTAATGATCAACAAGGGGGACAGAATTGGAATTGAATTTGAATTTCAGGGAAATTTTAATTCCAACTCCATTTCCATTTCCTGATTTGGGTTGGAAATGGCTAATGCATTCTGGAATGGAGCCAGCCCTGGATATGAACATTGTAGGCTACATTTGTGCGTCATGTGACTAAAGAGGGTGGAACAAGATGCAAATCTATGAGAGGAGGGCGGCACAGGAGATGAGGAATAAGAGAGAATTTGTGAAAGAGCGATGATGGAGGGGCTGTGGCCAGCAGTTCTGGTGGAAGCAGGTTTCCCCCAGACAGGCAGGCAGGGCTCGGTCTGGATGTGGCAGACCGTCCGGGCTGCTATTGGGAGAAAGCGTGCACATGTGACCTGCCCTTTCCTTTCTTCCTGACCAGCATGGGCTTTAGGCCGTGCTGGGAAGACTCTCCCGTCCTCTGGCTGGGGCAATTAGGGGCTGCAAGCCATGCCCGATTTAGCGATCCTCTCAGGTGGTATCTGGGCTGACCGCGAGGAAGCCGTTTCTACCTGTGTGGAGCATATCGCCCCCTACTGGCCTGACGGTGGATTCCCAGCAGGTCATTGCATCAGGGTGCTTTTATTTTTTATTGGAGATAATTATATAAGACACTAATGTAGCTTTGTGGGGGCCACCAATTCTAGGTGAACGCATTGTCTGCATCTCAATCATATACATATATGGACAAAAGTATTGGGACACCTGGGCATTACACCTACAGAAACTTGTATGACATCCTATTCTAAATTCATAGGCATCAATATGGAGCTGGTCCCTTCTTTGTGGCTATAACAGCTGCCACTCTTCTGTGGGGCTGATGTTGGACTTGAAGGCTCGCAATATCCATTCCAGTTCATCCCATAGGTGTTCGATGGGGTTGAGGTCAGGTATCTGTGTGAATCAGTCAAGTTCTTCCACACCAAATTCACCCATCCATGTCTTTATGGACCTTGCTTTGTGCATTGGGGCACAGTCATGCTGGAACAGAAAAGGGCCTTCCCAAAGTGTTCCCACAAAGCTGGAAGCATAGAATTGTCTAAAATGTCTTGGTATGTTGAAGCATTAATGGTGCGTTCCTTTTGAACTTGTAACTCAGAAATGTTAGTCCTTAATTTCAATTGGAACAGCCCTTGAAGTCAGAATTCCAACTCGGAAGAGTTAGAGGAAGTTTTGCAACCCCAACCTCAAAATTGAAGATGAATGCACCCTTAGCAACGACGTGTTACATGTGCCTCATTTAATTGGTCATACACCCAGTATTGTCCAACCGCTGTCTGTGGACATGTTGCTATGTGTTTTTATATGCAAACCACTGTGTAATGTGTTGTTATAACAGATATTGCTAAGAAGGGCTAACGACAGTGGAGGCTAGAACTGGGGCCTGTTTCAGAAAGCAGGATTTCTTGTTTAGCTGGATAACTTGTCGGATTTAAGGTAGTCTGGGCTAAATGTAAGTAAAAGAAGATAAAGGCCATTTAAATGGGGTAAATGAAATTTGACAAGTTATCCGGCTAAGCAAGAAATCTTGCTTTTTGAGAAAGGTCCCTGGTATTGCTAAATAGCTTTCCGACTTGCTGCACTGGAACGCGGTTAACTCGTGTAATGTCATTCCCAGTTCCGAGCTTGAACCTCCAAAGTAAATGGAACGCAGCATGAGAGTTCCTTCACTGGAACTCTAGGCCAGCCTCTGAAAAACAACCCCATACCATTATCCCCCCTCCACCAAACTATACAGTTGGCAAAACGCAGTCTGGCAGGTAACGTTCTCCTGGCATCTGCCAAACTGACTCGTCCATCAAACTGTCAGGCAGTGAAGCGTGATACGTCACTCCACAGAACACGTTTCCACACTGGCAGCATGCTTTACACCACGCTATCTAATGCTCGGCATCACACTTAGTAATGTGATGCTTGCATGCAGCTGCTCCACCATGGAAGCCTTTCCATGAAACTGCCAGTGTACAGTTTTTGTGCTGGGGTTAAAGCCAGAGGGAGTATGACACTCTGCAGTTACTGAGTTAACAGAGCTCTGTTACTTTATGTGGTCTGTCGCTTCATGGCTGAGATTCTGTTGTTCCTAAATGTTTTTACTTTGAAATAGTACCACTTGCATGGCTATGTGCTTGATTTTACAGTATATACTTGTGGCAATGGGTTTTAATGAAATGATTCAATGATTAAGAGTTATGTCCCTATACTTTCGTCCATATAGTGTAAATATTTGTAACAATACAAACATTGACTGACTTTTTATATAATATATAATTTTTTTCCCTGCCCTTTTTCTTTGCTTCTGTTACAAAAAGTGTGCCAAAAATATATAATATAGTGTAAATGTAATATAATGTGATGTGTGTATATTATATGTATCCATTTTCAGGTATTTCTCTGCTCTTGCTATATAATAAAAATATTACAGATACACAATATATCATGTAAACATATCTGTATCCGCTGATATTTGCTAAGATATCCATTTCAGTCTGATGTGTCAGTTTAGCCTAATTATCGCTGGCTGGTATTTAAACTTTATCGCTATTAAAAAATTGCACCAAAGCTAAAGATATATTGAAATAATGTAGATTATTGCATTGGATGATAAGGCATTTTCTGTAGTGGAGGATCAGGGATTTCGTCGGCTTAGTCACTTGGAAGCGGGATATTTGCCACGCGGTCTGAAAATGGACTAAAAACTGGACATTGCATTTTATTTTACAATAGGGAACATCTCATAAAATACCAGATAGGTGGCAACTCGACTTTGAAAAGGTCTCAAAGTACCAGGCTGTGGGATGGTTTTATACAGCCCATGATGTTTTAAACTCTTTATTAAGCCAACAGATTGATCTTTTGTTTTCCACAGAATATGAAAAACGATATAACACTATTCTCTTTAGTTTCACTGCTAGTTTTACAGCCCCTGCTTTAATTCTTAATTATAAAATTGTGACTTGTCTCTGTTCCTTGTAGAGCAGGAAAACCTTATGTCGTCAGAATGACAAATGAGCTATAAACTTAAAAAAAAAAAATGTTTTAGAAATGACCAATTCTGCTGAGATGGGTCTCAGTACTGGTGACTGAGACCTGATATTAGTGATTTCTGTCACCTAGAAAAATAATTGTCTGCTCTTTCCATGTTCTCAAATCAGCTGTGTCTTGGAAATGCGGATCCCGTGTTTGCTAAGATGGAAAAGTGTGAGATCTGCTGTGAAGACCTCGCAACCTTTTCCAATTGCTGTGACTGCCTTGTCCTTTAAAGGAAGGTGTAATTATCCTTTGGTTGGTGCCTGCTGCCCGTATCTCTCCAAGGGGAATCGCACATTTGTCTCTGGGGTGGTACTTTTCTGACCTATATCATCTCTGGATGGACTCGTGGGAGACAGTTTTGTAATTTCACAGTAGATGAGGCAAATCCTGTACTTCTCATTAGAATAATGTCAAAGGGAGCAAGAGGCTTGATATAGAGATATGTTAAATCAGATGGACACATTCCTTTTGATTGCCACCTTCCTCATAGAAACCAAGGTGACTTGTTGAGTATTCCCATTGCCTCTCACCTCCAAGATCCGGGGTTTGAATTCTGCCTTTGCTCCGAGTGTGTAGTTTGCATATCCTCACTGTGGATTATGGGATCCTTCCTCTTATCATGGCTCAGAGACATGCATATAGGCCAATGCCATCTCTGTCTTGCCTGGAGTGTGGAATGGTGTGTGTTTGTTGTGTGTACACCCTGTGATGAAATGGTACTCAAGGATCGTGCTGTAATAGGTTCTGTAGCTTCCTCAAGAAAACCTATAACAAAAGCTAGTTTATGCGTCTGGTTGTCTAAGGAGTTTTTAATGTGTGGTATCTTGTTTGATTAAACTCCAGTATTAATGTGCTGTTTTCAAAGTCTGAACGAGGAGTAGTGTTGCCGGTCTACTGGTGCTGCCTTAATGTGGTAGGAGGAACATTAGCCTGAAGCCATCTTCTTCGTATAGTTTCCGTGCTTGGAATTAATGATTCCATTTTAGCCCCCCCTTACTGAGGTTGCACACAAGTCATTCCAACAGCTGTGATTTTTATATTAAGCTTCCAGCTGATGAAAAACGATTGGTGGAGGTGGGGGTGGGGTGGGAGTGAGGTAGCTGATGTTTTCTGATGTTTTTCAGATGGTTGTTGTCTCGGATGACGTCCGTGAGTATGCGGTGGCCCTCAAAGACACAGAGGAGAAAATAGCTCGCTGCCCAAGCAAGGTAAGGAAAGCCAAGAAGGACAAAGTCTATCCTGAACTGCTCTCACACCCCCCCCCCCCCCCCAATCCATGTAAAACCTAAGGCTGTTAGCGCGTCTATTTCAGGCCTTGTCGGCAGGTTTGATGATGCACTTAAATTACCGGCCTTGCTTCTACAGAGGTCAGACATCTTAGAGGAGTTGAAGAAGAGCCAGAAGGTCTTCTTAGAGAAGCTGAACCACCTGAGCCGGAGACTTGCTTGGATCAATGCCACCATTTACTCCAAGGTATGTCACTGTCCAGTCTTAGGTTTGGAACAGGAGGATGTGGAGCATATCTTGGTGCCCCACAAAAGCTTCTCCTTGCCAGAGTTAAGAAAGTCCAACAGTCTCCCTGCCAAAGTCAACAAAATCCAAAGCATCTCCCTGCCAAAGTCAATGAAATTCAGGGCTTGTCCCTTCCAAAGTCAACACAATCCAAAGCAGTTCTTGCCAGGTTAAAAAAAGCCCAAATGTCCCCAATCTCACTCAGAAATGAGGCCACCTGTGTATCAGAAACTCTGCTTTTCATAGTTACATGTATTGCATTCTCAAAAATAGGCTTTGTTGTAACTGCAAATAAACGTAGCTTTTTGTCTGACAACACACTATGGTGATCGAACAGCTTGCGTGTAAAGCATCTTGCTTACTGCTCCTGTTTTCTGTTGTTCTTGAGTTAAGTGGATCTGCTCCTGATCACGCATCCTGCACTATTTGAATGCTATACGCTGACACCCCTTTCTGGTGCACTTTTCAGGAGAAGATGCTGGACATCTACTGGCTCCTGAGGGTCTGCATCCGGACCACTGAGCATGCGGACAACACTGGTTCCCTCTTCGCCTTCACCCCCGAGTTCTACCTCAACGTGGCTATGAATAGCTACAGCGCTCTCAAAAACTACTTCAGCCCATTCAACAGCATGGAGGACCTGCCAGGTAACTTAATTTGTCCCGCAAGTCGAAGAAATATTCTCCTCTTCAGATTCATTGTTTGGATGCTTTTTGGGAAGAAAGGTAGCTAAATCTAAATGGTGGCTGCTTTTTTTATTGGGTGTGTTAAAATTTTGATCTTAAACTGGTCTTATCTACATAAATATTTTACTCAACTAGATGTATCACCTTGCTCAAAGGTGATACAAGAGTGTTTGTAAGGATTAAATTGGCAGCTAACATGTTGAATTTGAATGCCATTGCCTTGCTTGTTCTCTTGTTGCAGATGTAATATAATTATGTCTCAATTGTGGTGGTGTTCTGGATAAAGACCCATGTTCTCATTGAAGGTTGATATAAAGAGCGCATGGTGGACTTTCTAATAAATTCCTCCCTGTCCTCTAGGGTACGAGGACACCCTGACGCAGCTCGCTGCCATACTGGCCAAGCACTTTGCAGACTCTCGCATCGTGGGCACAGGTAAGGGGCGGCCATCGCCGAAGATGTAAGACCCGTTAGCCGAATTAGCTTCTATTCCTCAGATTTGGCAGTAAGCCGACCAGCAGACCACGGCTATGATGCAGAAACAGGCATATTACGTAGCTTAGCACTATTCAGTGAAGAGCTACTGTAGGTTATTGTATTCCAATACAACTGTAAGTGATTCATATGATATGAATTGTCCTGCCTTGAGTTCCAGCTAACATTCTTGGCTGTTATGCATGAAACTTTGCCTGTCGCTCTCAGTCCTTAATACTTTATGTATTTCTATTACCTGCAGGGAAAAAGGGAAAATAATTTAAATCCTGCCGCGAAATGCAGCAGTAATCCGTTAGAAACTAATTTAATGGCAAATGATAACTTAATATAGCCTTGAAATTTTCCATTCAAGATCCAGGTTAATTTATTTTTCTGTGTAACTGTCTAATTATGCCACCCTCCCAAGATGTAGCCAAAGTATCATCATGGGATTTATATCTCTCCCAAGATTAAGTTTTACTATACAGTAATTCATAGCTTTCTTTTATGGGAAAATATTGTTTTTTTTTTTTTTGTAGTGTTATTCCTGAAAAGAGAAAATCTGAGAGGTTTCTTATTTTTCCCTGAGATAAATGCAAGTGTAGCTGTGTGACAATGATTTTAAAAAATTCCTTTAAAACCCTTGAATCATCTCCCTGTTGTGCTTTATGTAAGTTATTGTATCATTTTCATCGGTTGTCTTTGTTTTTTATGCTTATATAATGAGATCGTGTGTCATTCTTTCTTAGTGACATTGTCTCATTTTTATGCGACTGTCATCCAAGGCCTGCATTTTGCAGGAGATCAGATGCTGGTACGCGCTCACACGCGAACGCGAACAAGTCCTGGCATTTCTGTTTGTGTGGGGGCTCCTCGGGGTCGCTCAGCCTCTCATTTCCACCTCCACGCCAGCCAAACCGATAAATTTTTTTAAAAGGACGACGAAAAAGTTGAAGTCGTGCCAGTGCTTTTTCTGTCGTCACCGCAAAAGAGCAAAATCTGTTCACACAAATGGAAAAAGAGATCAGACTGCAGTTCTGAGTTTTTTTTGTGAGTGGCTGTATTTTATATATGATAATAGCAGGACCGGGACAAATCTACTAAACCTCAGACACTGGACACACAACGTTGTTGTAGGTAATTTTTCATTTACTGCTTTCTGTGATTCGGAACGTTTCAGCCACTGTGTGCTTTGTGTTCCAGACATCAAAGACTCCCTCATGCAGGCCCTCGCTAGTTATGTGTGTTACCCACAATCCCTCAGGGCAGTGGAGAGGATCCCAGAGGAGCAGTGAGTAACTTAATAAAGGTCTTTAAGGTGGACCAGAAATAGAATATGTGTGTGATATCTCTTTAGACTAAGCCCTATGACTTATTTTGTTTGGATGGGACATTTTGAAATGTAAATACTTCTGTCATCACTTCTTAAAATGATAGATTGTTTACCTGTCTGTGTTTAAATTCCTCTGCATCTGAGATGGAGATTATTTTTGCGATGGGCAAATTTGAAGTCCTGCCGGGTGCATAAAAACAACAAAGATGCGGGACTTAAAAATTCACACAAAAAAGGAAGCCACTTGACATATGGAAACTCGAGATACTTGGTATTCTCCCGGACATGGTGCTGCCCAGCTAATGCTGTGTGCATTATCGCAGCTAAATTAGATAAGCAGTGGAAATGGATGGATTGATGGGTGCAAATGTCCACCAGCATTGGGATGTTTCAATATTGAGTCTGTAGATACAGGGCAGTGATACCTCATATTAGCGTAGCGCTCACGCTTTTCCACGTCCGCTGTAGAGCGGCAGGCTATGCTTTTGCTGCCTGCCATGTGCACACGTGTGTAATAATTCGAACCTCTGCCCCAGGCGCATGGATATGATGAGGAACCTGCTGGCCCCCTACGAGCAGCGGCCCTGGGCCCAGACCAACTGGATCCTGGTGCGGCTGTGGAGGGTGAGGGCCACTTCCTGTTTCTCCCTCCCCCCCTCCCTCACTCCAACATGGCCGCCAGCACTGTGGCGTCTCGCCTCTCTGTAGTTGCCCGGGCTGCCGACCGTCTAGGTTGCATGCCTCTGAAAGCTCGCCGGGTGATGCAACGTGAAACCTCCCTTTCTGGCATTCCTCCTTTTATCGATTTCTTTCCAAAAGTAATCTAACGATTTTTTTATAAGTGTTGTGGCGCCTATTCAAGGTGATTATAATGCCTTTCTAGCTAATGGAAGTGGGAATTTTTACTGTACAGCAGGTATTATGTGTTCCGCTGCTTTTAGCAGCTTTTAATGGGGCATGCCATGCATTTGTTTGTGTATATTTTCATCGTTATTATGCCGTTTGATTTAGGGATGGTATTCCTTGTGTGGCGGATTGTAACACGATATCTGATGTGAATTTGGATAGTATCAGATGCTGGGGATATTGCCTTGCTCTCACTGCCTCTGTTGTCTGATTGCTTGTGTCTCCAGTGTTTCTGTGTTGGTGTCTATGGCTGCATTTGCCTTGTTCATTCCCCCCTAGTCAGTCACCCTTCTCTCCTCCCAGGGTTGTGGCTTTGGGTACAGGTACACGCGACTGCCGCACTTGCTGAAGACCAAACCAGAAGATGCCAACCTCCCCAGCCTGCAGAGTGAGTCTCCTCCCCCTCACATGACTCTGCCTCCCCACCCATCTGATTCGTTGACTGTCTTTCTTGGTGAATGAACCCAATAGTGTTTCTTTAACTTGCATGTAAATGGCACTGGTTTGTAACCATGAGTGACACATGGAAAGTTTCTGGTCTGTGACCAAAAGAGGAGATTTTCAGACAGACAGAGAGGGTTTGTGTAGCCCTTAAAATGTCAGAATACACCAGAGAAGGTCAATGTTGAGATGGTAATGCGATGCTTTTGAAATTTATATTTAAAATGAACACAAATCTCCAATCTCTTTGCCGTCCTGAAAGTTGAAGTTTGTGTGGAAAATATGGAAGTCTCATTTTCAAACAAGTGTAAGTTCTGTCAGATGTAAGAGCTCGGCGGATTTATGAAGGCGAGGCGACGTCTGTAGGTGGGGGCCGGTATTCGTGAGGCTACATTGAGCTTCTGTGATATTCTGGCAAAAGCATGAATCAGAACGAACATCTTCAGGCACCTCTGCCACCTGTCTGATATGTTCTTGGTGTTTCTAACACGTCCTCTTATGGAAACTGGGGCTGCTGCTTATCGTCTGAAATATTTCGCTTCTGTAGCTAGGAGGTCATTGCTCTTGCATACACCCTACAAGGGTATGATTTTAAAAAGAACAAACAATATATGTAAATTAAGCTGTGTGGAATGAAGTAATACTTAGAAGTATGTTGGGAGATCTGGGCAGAAATAGAACTGTGTGTGTGTGTGTGTGTGTGTGTGTGTGTGTGTGTGTGTGTTTTCCTGTAATTTTTGCGAGTCCTGTACACTGACACATGGGGCAGTGTGGTCTTTAGCTGGGTGGTGTGTGGCTCAGTGACTTAGGTCTGTCTGAATGGCTGTCTGACCCTGTGCTCAGACCCAAAGCGGTGCTCTCGCTAAGTGTGTCATTGTCTCAAAGGAGAGCAAGATGGGATATATACTGTATGAAAACTAAAGAATTCTGATTTACCTGTACTTGGCAGATAAAGCATCATTTCAAGGCTTTTCAAAGGCAGTTTCCTGCTTGGTGTTCGTGGTCTTCTTGGGTCCAGCTTGGCAGCGATGATCAGGCTTCTTGCATGTCACTGGGTTTCCTTATATCGAGAATCGGTCACGCTTCTGCACCCCATAACGAGATTATGGATTCCATGAAGGACCCTGCCCTTGGTGTGACCTCATTCGCATGCGACAAAGTAACGACGCTCCGGCTCTTCCCTTTAGGCCCGGATACATGCATTTTCTCGGCCGCAGGAAATGCCGCTTCTCCCTGCGACCTGGCCATCCTGTCGCATTTTGAAGATGCCCGGGTCATTCCCTCTCTCTCATAGCCAGTTCACATCCCTGAGCGGACTTGTTGCCCTCAGACCTTCGATTGAATTATTCCTTTTAAGTACAGCCTCAATTGTGTTTCATATTAATCACGATCAATCCGAGAGTATGACCGCAGGATTGTGGTGACATTTATCAGAGATTATATGGTTAAAAACATGATGACGGGTCATTCATCATTTTTGTGTGTCTGTGATATGTACCTTTTCATTCTTATTGTTTTAAGTCTTCTTTATCATGTTACAGATTTGTCACAGTAATTTAATATTGCTGTCATATTTTGTGTTTTCAGTCACTTTATTTTATAAAGTATATTTTATATATTTTTTATGTCCTTTGCTTGCCTTCCAGGAGATTTGTCTGTTGCTAGTTTTCAAAGTAAGTTTTTACCCCAATATTACACCGTTTTTTTACTCTGTGCTTTTGATTCCACCCTAGTCTAGGTTTAATCTGAGTCCTTCCCAGTTCCTCTCATTACCTCCCTTTGTAGAATTTTCATTATTATATTATGTGCAAAAATAACATCAAAAGTAAAATGAAGGTGAAAACGGCCAAGCGGAAGAAGCTTGCATTGGTCTCTTGTCTTGAATTGCCCCACAGCTTTAAATTTGCATTGTTTATTATTTAATCTGTTTTAACCAGTCAGCCGCTTTTGGGGTAGTCCGACATGCCTTGACATTTTTATATGTATCACCTATCAAAAAAGACATTTACCCCAAAGTGCTGCATATGCACAAACTCAGCAGCAATAATCTGAGACCATTTAGAATGACATTAATCTTTTTTGTTTAAATGAACTGTAAACATATATTTTTCAAAAACCGATTTCCAGATGTGCTGAGATATTGTAAAAAAAAATACATTATAAACAGTTCTGGTTCTGGGCCCCAGCCCGCCCCGCAAATAAAGTGACAATTTCTTTACCCGCCCCAACCCGACCCGCGGCGTCCGCGGGTTACGAGACGACCCGCGCATCACTACTGCTTGGCACTTTCGTGACTTGTCACGTGACGTAACCTTATCAAAGAACTTAATAAAATATGAAAATAGATATTCCCAAATATTTAATATAGGCTATAGGGAATTGCACGCAACATACATGGATTTTTTATTTAATTTTGTTTTTAATGACCCGCCCCAACCCGCCCCGCAAATAAAGTGACAATTTCTTTACCCGCCCCAACCCAACCCGCGGGTTACGAGACGACCCGCGCATCACTAGTGTTGGCTACACATAGATGATTGAAACATTCAAAAATTTTATGTGGTTTGATTCTTAAAGTGTCAGAACTTTAGAGTGACATTTTTTTTCTAAAGTCAGTGGCCTACACAATGAATATTGATGAGGTAGGTGTCACTACCCCTGTAATGGTTTGCAGACTGATGCTCCACTGACAATATGCACTGTCATTTTTACTGCCCAGTTTGGAAAGTCAGTGTGAATTGTAAGAAAAGAAGAGACAATAAAACCTTTTTGCATTTTATAACGTGCAATGGATTAAACGCTGATGAATAAACAGTGCAATCACATTATATTACTAAAATAATACAGAACAGTCACTGAATAATAGAACAATAATTTGTCTGTCTTGATCAGGATGCCAAGCTTCAAAACAGTTTGTTTGGTATATATATATATATAGAGCCAAAAGTTTTGGGACATCCCTCCAAATCACTCAATCCAATGATCCAGTGATTCCAATCACTTCCATAGCAACAGGTGTATAAAATGAAGCACCTTGGAATGCAGACTGCTTCTACAAACATTTTTCAGAGAATGGGTTGTTCTCAGGAGCTCAGTGAATTCAAGTGTGGTACCAGTAGGATGCCACCTATGCAATAAGTCCATTTGTGAAATTTCCTCACTACTAAGTATTCCAGGGTCAACTTGTGAGTGAGGACAACGTGTGCTGCAGTGCACAGTGTGCAGAAGTCACCAACTGTCTCCAGAGTCAATAGCTAAAGACCTCCAAAATTCGTAGGGCCTTCAAATTAGCTCAAAAACAGTGTGTAGAGAACTGCATGTAATGGGTTTCCATGGCTGCATCCAAGCCTCACATCACCAACTGCAATGCAAAGCGTTGGATGCAGTGGTGTAAAACACACCGCCTCTGGACTCTAGAGCAGTGGAGACCTGTTCTCTGGATTGACAAATCACGCATCTCTGGGGTTGTTTTTCAGGGGTTGGGCTTGGCTCCTTAGCTCCAGTGAAAGGAACTCTTAATGCTGCAGGATTCAAAGCCATTTTGGACAATTCCATGCTCACAACTTTGTGGGAATAGTTTGGGGATGGCCCCTTCCTGTTCCAACATGACTGCACACCAATGTGCAAAGCAAGGTCCATAAGGACATGGATGAGTGAGTCTGGTGTGGAGGAACTTGACTGGCCTGCTCAGAGGCTTGACCTCAACCTGACCGAACACCTTTGGGATGAATTAGAGTGGGGACTGCGAGCCAGGCCTTCTCATCCAACATCAGTGCCTGACCTCACAAATGCTCTCCTGGAAGAATGGTCAAAAATTCCCATAAACACACTAAACCTTGTGGACAGCCTTCCTAGAATAGTTGGGCTTGGTCTGCAAGGGTGTCTACTGGGGACGTCTGTCTATGTGCCGAACACTTGATTTTCCTCAAACTGAAAGCCAAATGAGCGCCGAAACTAGAACTTCCTAGAATGTCCTCGTCTCTGGGCGCCACTTGTATTTATTTAGCTTTCCGCTCATTGCACTTTTGCTTATGAATTGTTGTTAATGTATTCTTTGGGTAAATCGCCGGCGGATGCAGTGGGGCGCATCGCTGCCGCTAACAGTGTTAGAAGATAAGATGCATAACGCTCACTCAGACAGTGTAATAGTATCGTATATAAGGTTTGATTGCTTTTATCCCGCTAATGGCTCTATAGGTATGCTCCACGGATGGGTAGATGTGAGTCTTTGCCGATTTAATTGCAGACTCCACGTTACGTGTCTTTGAGAGTGAGATTTTTTTGTTCTAGGTTCTAGGGGGAGATTTCTCTTCCAGTATAATTTCTCAAACTACCCCACATTGTTGACGGCTGAAGCCCACAGCCATCACTAACAGGTCCTCTGTGGCATCTGCTCGCATGATATTCTGCCCAGAAATTTCCCTCTTTTATTATTTAATGTTTAGCGTAGAATTGATTGGCATGCGTCATGGAAGAAACTGATTTGCTGATTTCTTCATGCAATGTTTTTTTTTATTTCTGGGCCTGGTCAAATGTTTACTGTTTAATTATAAAATCAAAGTGGAATTATTCACCTTTCTGGGGGCTCTTGAAACACCATGATAGCAAGCAGTGAATGCGGGCTCTCCGCAGGAGTCCCAGAGAACAAATGGATTAAGTACTTTGGTTGCCCTGTCATCTGGGGGATGTCCTCCAGACTCTCTTCAGTCTCTTGTCTCTCCTCCACAGCCTGCATCTAAGTCTTTGTGGGTCCCTCAAGGCTGCCGCTCATTTAGAAAATTGTTTAGTGGCCAATTAAACTGAAAAGGTTATTTCTGCTTTAAGGGCAGATACTGCTTTGATATGCAATCTACAGAGGTTTTTTTGGGTTGGGGGGCAGGGTGGGTGGGTATCTGAAGCTCATGATGCATAGATGCTTTCGGTCGGCGCAGTGCGGAATGCCGAATTAGGCCCACAAGCCCCTGTTAGCAACATGTAGCTACTCTAATGGCCGGAGATGGGCTCTGTAATGGAAGGCAATAGCCACAATCATCTTGGCAGATAGCGGCGGTTATTATAGGACAGTGCCAGTGGCAGTAATGGTGGCTGCAGTGATTGCAAGGGGCCCTCGTGAGAATTGAGGGACAGGGCCTTCCTGGCAGATGGCTGTAATTATCAGAGGCGGCCGTTTTAGGTCTAAGGTGACCGCTGATGGGGAGACTTCACTTCTACCCCCTCAGAGACTGAGCTGGTTAATAGCCTGATACTTTTGTTTCCATGTTCCTTCAACCGGTGGTTCTCAGATGGTTTAGCCTCAGGACCCTTAGCCATAAGCAAAATTTTTGAACCAAATTTACTTCACAACAAATAGTGTAATTATAGTTCTGAGGGGTGACGACTCGCTAGAAATGGTCCTGTGACCGACTTTTGGAACACGACCCATTGGTTGAGAAAACAGTGACTAATTACCATATGATCCTTTGCTGTAGGTTGTCATTCCGTCCTGTTTGTTGTAGCGTCAGTGGTGGCTTTCAGCTCCTCTGTTTTGTCCAGTCATCTCGAACCCAAACTCGACAAAGATGCTGACCTCTGATTGGATGGTAGTTGAACTAACGCATGTTCCACTCCTTGATTGGCTGCAGAGCCCTGCCCGTCCCTTCTGCTCCAGAAGCACATGGCCGAGCTCCTCAGCCTCGATAAGGACATGGCGGCTAGCTTCCTGAACAGCGTGCTCAATCAGCTCAACTGGGCCTTCTCGGAGTTCATCGGCATGATTCAGGAGGTAAGTCGGCCAGTAGGGGGTAATGTTGAGGGAGGTTAGGCTTTTCAAATCAGGTATGTATAGGGCAGAGCGATTCTCGAGGACCTTGCAGTTTTAACTATGTTTAAAAGATTCTTTTTGTTTTGCATTAAAGATAGTTGATGAGTGGTTTCTTCTGACAGGCTTGTATTCCGTATGTCTAAGTCATTAAATAAAGCCCATTGCTGTTTAACTCGGATGCCTCTGCCTGTCCCACTTTCCCTCTGTGGTATGTTTTTAGGTGAGTGCAGGGTGTTTTTCAGGAGCTCATTGTTTTGATTTTTTTTCAAATTTAATGGAATGATTGTGGATGCAAGAGGGGTAGAAATTATAGTAATGAAAATAGGTGCTGTGTGTCTGTCACATCTGCATTTTATCAGGTGTGTGCATGAACCCGTGTGTGTGTGTGTGTGTGTGTGTGTGTGTGTGGCCAGGAGGCACTGGGCAGTAGGCTGATGCATCTTGTCTGATCTCCTGTGGGTGGTAGTGGCACCTAACTAACCCCCCGCCGTCCTCCGCCGAGCAAAAGCTGAACCTGGCCAACAGGCCCGATTTGTTCCCACAAGGTTCTGTGGCCTCATTCTGTCCCTAATTTCATGAGCGGCTCTCTGGGCTCGGGCCGGCTTTAGCATCCCCGCATCCGGCCCGATGGAGAGAGGTGGGATACAGAAACTCAGTTTCTTGGAAAAACTGATCTATTTCAGAAATTCTTTCGAGCCCTTGGGTTTTTTTTAAGGATTTTAAAATATCACCCGGCAGCAATTTCCCGTTTGCACTTTGCCTGAATATACTTTTCCCCATATCTCTTAAAGGTGAGGTTTGTGATATATCTCTCTTTGAAAGTAGCTTACTTGGGGCTGGTGTCGGGTCAAGTGACAATATGCTTTATTGTCATGACATTCATATGCAAGCATACAGTGGCTTGAGATATGGTTTCCCCAGGAGCACAGAGAGACACACAGACAGCAAGTGACAAAGGAAGGATTCAAAATAATTTACAGACTTTGTAAGACATGGGGGGCTTGATTTCAGTGAGTATATATACATACTGGTCATATATATATATTTTATACCCATGACCATGCATAGGTCAAGTGGTATAAAAGATGGATGGATGAATGAATGGATGATAATATATTTATAGTACATTTCTGCCAAGTAGAATTAAAGTGTTGCGGGTTAGGGATTCTGTGCCCATGTCTGGAAGGTACTGGGTTCGAATCCTGAATAATTATATCAGTCACAGGGATGACTAAAACATCTCTTTCTACATGACATGAAATTGTTATCATTTGTTGCCAAATGTTCAGGGTTACTCAAACTGCTGTTTGATTGCCTAGCAGCCCTCTGTCTTTCTGCTTTCTGAAACGTCATAAATGCGGCCGCAGATCCAGCAGGCGGCTGAGCGGCCGGAGAGGAACTTCGTGGACACCCGGCAGCTGAAGGTGTGCGCCACGTGCTTCGACCTATCAGTGAGCCTCCTCCGCGTGCTGGAGATGACGGTGACCTTGGTGCCCGAGATTTTCTTCGACTGGGCCCGCCCCTCGGCTGAGCTGCTCCTCCGCCGATTGGCTCAGGTAAGGGCCCTGGGGGCTTTGGGATTGGCTACTGCCGTGTTTCACGCCAGCCTGACCAGTAAAACTCTGCTGGTGCATGATTCGTCTCCAAACCTTGTTCTCCTAGGTTATCAGTGTTCTGTTACTGGTGAAAAGCTGGCGTTTTTCTTACAAAGGTCAGGGGATTACTGGTAATTATGGCATCTGCATCCAGAAACATCTGTTGAGGGGTGTAGTATTTCGCACCATGAACCTGAGCCATTCCCTCTCTGCCAGTGAAAATGTACGGATGTTCATTTATTTATTGAAGTGATTCTCTGAACATATGGCATGATTGATATTTAAATATGGCATGATTGATATTTCAAGATTAAAACAACACATACGCTCAACGGGTAAAGGCCTCTGTGCCTTTGATCAGAAGGGCGCAGATTCAAATCCCGTCCTCAGGAAAAAAGTTACTTTGCCGTTGGGCCCTTGAGCAAGGCCCTAAGCCAGGTTTCCTTAATTCCACTCCCGAAGGGCCAGAATCCAACTCAGTGTGGATTTCCCTATTCAAACACATCTACTAAACCTGGCAGTTGGATTAAGATGTGTTTGAAGAAGGATTCTGGCCTTCGGGACTGGAATTGGGGAACCCTCCCTTAAACCATCTGAAGTGCCCCTGGGAGGCCTGATAAATGGCTGTGGCTGCACCCAGACCCCAAGCTTCACTGCCACCTGTATGTGTGAGCATGTCTCCATAGACAGCGAGACGGGACATGTGAACAGAAGCTAATCCAAGCATCCCTCCTTCCAATTTGCATAAATGTTCACCCAGGAAGCACAGGGATGCTTGTAAGTCCATTTCTGGAAATCACTTGGTGAAAAAAGTGAATGTCGAGCCAAGATTTTGTAACTGGGCTTCACACTCGTTACATCTGACCGTAATTTCGACCTTGCATAATGTTCCCGCCTATGTTCTTTCCCTGTACCGGTTTAAATGAGGAACATTTTTGTGCATAGGTCTTTAAATATGCTTAACCGTTGTACTCTAGGCAGTTACAATTGAAATTGCCCTTAATGTTGGACACCTGGTCTTCGGTTTTGGCAGCAATAGGGCTGTACAGTGTGCCGTTAGCTGGCAGGGGTGTAAAGGGCTTTTGGAAGGATTCTTTGGCTCTGTCTCTTGATCAGGAGGTCTGCTTTGTCTTAGTCTGGCGGAAGGTGAATCTGCCGTTGGGCGTGGGGGAGGGGGAGTGTAGGAGATCTGCAGGGTGGAAGGCAACTGCTTGTGAGTCGGCACTATATCCTTGTGCCCTGTAGTTACAGCAGAGCCTCAGGTAGGGATACAGGTGCACTGGTGACATCATGGAGACTAGATGGTTCCTCATGGTAATATGCCGTATTCCTTCAACTCAAGAAAACGCTGCTAAAAAGATTAAAGGTTCGTAGCTTCACTCCATCCCTTGCCTGTTTACTTTCTTCGCTCCATGGCTCGATTGGGCCTGGAGACTTCAACTCGTTGTCATCAGTCATTAATGCCAATTAGCGTGGCTATGGTACACCTCTCCATGAAGTTCTCTGACTTCCTTTCCCCCTTCCTCCTCCATCTCTCTGCCTCGTCTGTCTGCCATTCTCTCTTTCACCTTGTGTTCTGGACTGTTGCCTGTCCACATTCCCATTCTGGTACGTTCTTTTGGTTTATAGCAGTCCTGTACTGTTCAAAGTCACCGAGTTCGTCTTCAATTGCCACGTTAGCTTTTAACGCTACCACTGTACCATGGCCAAATGATATTTATAGCCCATGGGAGCACATTTCCATATTTTTTGTTCTCTTCATTATAAGGTTAGGTTTGAATGTCCTGTATCACATTTATCTATAGTATGGAGCCTCATTTATGACCTCTGCTTCTACGTAATTTCGATGTGAATCTCTTGTGTTTACATACCAATGTAACAGCATATCTTTACTGGTGCTATGTCATTTGAAAGTATTTGATGCTTTGTTAAGTAGTAAAGTCATAAAGTTTCAGTTTTAATCAAGAGTCCTTCATCTTTTAATTCTGTTTATCATTCCTGGCAATTGAACAGTGACAGTCATTGGTGTTGCCGGGCAGAATAACACAATGTTGAGTCACCATATTAAATTTTTAAAGCTAAACAGCAGAACGGATTCATATTAATGCGTGACGCAAATGTGAGAAAAATGTGTATCTGCATACAGGGAAAAACATCCAAATTAGGTTAATGAAACAACTTGTTCCATTTTGATTATGCTAATTTGTACCCAGAAGCTAAAACAATAGAGTATACAGTCATTAGCAGATTCTCAGTGGACACCTGCTCTCTAATGAGTACTAATAAAATGATAATATTGCTGTGGTCCCTGCCATCTGATTATGTGGGGGAAGTGTGTGTTTTTTGTCGTGTTTTTAATGTTTTTTCCCGAGCTTCGAGGCTGTCATGAGTGCCCCCGTGTGCAGGGTCATCTTGCTTTCGATCTTCATTTCCATCGTCATTAGTGCGTAACTACAGTCCAAGACCTCGCGAAATTGGATGATGAACTTTGCTGGGGGGAGGGCGTCTGGGGTTCTGGGGCAGCGTGGCGTTTGGACAGCCCGCCGATTCCCCCGTGACGGAGGTCCCCCTCAAGGACGGGCCGCTCCCGGCTGCTGTCAGCCAGGTCTTCGCCGCCCTGAGCGCGTGAGCTCGGAGCTGAGCGTGCATTTATTAATAAAGGGCTGATTAAAGCTCTGAGCCGCCCCGCCTGCCCTTCATCACCAGCGCCTGACGTGCGGCCATTTCCTCACATCCTCCTCTCAGTGATTACCAACAGCTGTCATTTGTAATTCGGTGCCAGTCAAGTGAATTTACGGGCCCAGGTCTGTCTGTCTGGAGAAGACACTGCGGCAACATAACCAGTAGGTTTCAGTAGGTTACCTAAGCGCGCATCCACACTCTTGCTTCTCTTTTTGGAGAATGAGGGCCCTCAGCTTGGTTAGCCATGTTTATTCCTGTGTGTGTTACTGCCCTTGTTCACCAACATCTGAACACGTGTGATAAATCGATCGGTAATAACGTGACCACCCTCTCTCTTGTTTCCCAGCTTTTAAACCAGGTGCTGAATCGTGTGACCGCGGAGAGGAACCTTTTCGACCGTGTGGTTAACCTGCGTCTCCCAGGTGAGCTCCTGTCTGCTGTAATTCCTGTTAATCCAACACTTAGCACGATAGAAATATATGGATGGCATCTCAAGAGCTAGACTTGGTTTCAAATATAATGTGTATCATGTTTGGCTCTTGAATTCTGGGTAGGGGTTGTGATAGTTTCTTCCTGTTTCATCATCCTGCTACATCACCACCGTATCTTCTTGCTGTATCAGCACTGTACTGTATCTTCGACTGTGGGTGGCCAGTGGTGGCCTAATGGTCAGGGAAGCGCACTTGTAATCAAAAGATTGCTGATTTGAATCCTCGACCAGCAAAGCACCACTGAGGTACCCTGAGTGAGGTATCACCCCCAAGCACTGCTCCCCGGGTGCTGAATTAGCTGCCCCCTCCTATGTCCCCATGTCACATATGGGTTACATACAGAGGACGTGTTTTGGTGTTGTGCATTGTGTGCTGTGGTGTGTCAACAATGACAACTAATCACTTTCACTATTTCACTACATCATCACTATCTTCCTGCTCTATCCCAGCCGTATCCACCTGCTGTACCATAGTCGTATCTTCCTGTTCCATCGTCTCTGTATCTTCCTGCTCTATTGTTGTCGTATCTTCCTGCTCTATCCTAGCCGTATCTTCCTGCTCTATTGTCGCCATATCTTCCTGCTACATCATTATTGTATCTTCCTGCTACCTTGACATCACTGTGTGTTTGTGATTCTATTTCTTGCCACTTCAAAACTTCATCCTTGCTCTGGGTTTGAGTAGAAGAGTGTCTAGAACACGAGACTTTCTAGCACCGACCCAAGCAGGACATTGCTCGCTTACGAACTTCACCAAGCCTGTGGACTCAGCCCACCCGGGCCCCTGAGTCCCATCAAGGGGAATGATTTTTCTTTCCTGCCTTGGGGAACAGAAGCTAATCTTTAAACAAAGACACCCCCTGATACTGCTGGGGCTTATCTCACTTCAGAATGAGTTCTCCCCTCTGGTGGGGATGTGAATGAGAAGGTCAGTGTGAGATTGAACTCCATGCTTTGGAACATCTGGAGTTTGATATGTAAAGCAGGGAATCTTGAAAACAGAAGCTGAAATGGATGTGTGTGTGTGTGTGTGTGTGGGTGTTTGGGTTAAGACTCAATACTATGCCTGGAAGGTCACTAGTTCTAATCCCGTGATTTTACTGTCACTTTGGATAAAAGCCTCTGTTAAATAAATAAATGTAAAGTAATGCCCTGGGTTCTGGATGGGAAAACCAGGGACCATAAAAGGATCATCCTTTGCCTAATTGATCAGCAGTGAGATTCATATAGTTTTATTCCAAAATAAAACCAATGTCATTGTAAATGGCTTTTATGAACATCAACCTTTCAGCTAAAGCAGGGCGCATGTCTTGAATGATGATTCTTGTGATGAGCCATTAAATGTCCAAATGTGAGTTTATTGCAGCCTCATGTGAAAGGCAAATTACTGATTTTCAATAAAGCTTGTTAGTTTAGCCTCTCCTTTTCCATAATAAGTGTTTCAACATCCTTGGAAACCAAACACATCGATATAAGCATGTCTAGACACCAAAATTAACATTCTGGGCTTATTAATCGTGAATTTTTAGGAGTAATTTAGTTTCATTGTCGAAGAAGGCCTAGAGCAGCCATCTTTGATTTGTACTCCGGTATTCTTGTTGGTTTTATTACAGATGGATGTGATATGGGACGATATCAGTCATACTGCTGCGTTTCTGCACCTCAGTAATTAAACCACTCAGTCAATGGACAAATTCATTCTTGCAGATCTAAAAATATATATATTTAAGACAAAAGGAGGGTCCCAGGCCTAGTTTTGGTGCTGTTTGATTTAACAGAGCTAGACAGTGTGTCAGATTGTATCCTGATTGGTCCCCTCATCATCCCAGGCCCCTCCCCTGCTCCCAATGGGGTGCCCAGCTGACCCGCTCTGCTGGCGTCTCTCCACAGGGCTAGAAAGCGTGGACCACTACCCGATCCTGGTGGCAGTGACGGGCATCCTGGTGCGCATCCTGGTGGACTGCGAGAGGCAGTGGTGAGTCGGAGCTGCTGTGCACACGCCCTGCTTACTTACTAGGAGGTGATGGGATGTCTGAGTGACCGTGACAATAACGTCTCCCACATGCGCTCTGGCATTCCTGCTAATGTACAACCATACAGGTGTCATGTTCTGGTGAATCACCTGGAGCGGTTTGTGAAGATCAAACAAACCATTAACAGAAGGTTCTGTATATTTTGTTATAAATTGAGGGATTGTCACAGCTTAAAGGTTGTAATCTGGCTCAGTCCTTTCCGGCTCCGTCAGAGCGGCCTGATAAAGACCAGTGATCGCTGTCGCTCGGTGCGGCGTGGTTAATTACGAGTGCCATCAAAGCTATGAGCCGCCACGCGATCCGCTGCCTGTCGATGACATCACTTTGGATGAGGCCGGACAGGGAAAAAACGTGGGACGTTTTTCTGAATGTTGATTGGAGCAGAGGTAGATTAATAAAAGAAATCTGTGTGTGTGTGAGAAAATATGTCATTATGTATTTTATACATTGCACTTGCAATTAGAAGGACATCACACTAATTTATGTCTAATTATGGAAGTTATGCTATGTATTGCATCTACAGTAATAACAGTAGTATATGTTTTTATATTTTATATACTTATGTATGTAATACAAAAAAAAGTGCTTTCGTGGAATGATAATATTTTAAAGCTATGAGCTCATTTGAAATAGGTCATTGTCATATACTTGTATATTAACTGGCCCAGAAACACGTTGTGGGACCACCGCCCCCCCCCCCCCCCCTTCGAGAGTGGATGACACTGTCCTAATGAGGGCTGGGCACTCGGTGAGGGTCGTCATAGCCAGCCCAGTGTTCCCCCCCCAGTTGGTGATAGTAAATTGCAGAGACAGTGGCCTGGGGCAGTGAGCTCATGTTCCTTGTCTTTCCAATGTGCCCCAGCCCTCTGCCGCTTGTGATTTTTTGCGGTGGATTCTGCCCCAGAGATTGGGCTCAGCTCTGGAGGAGCTGTGCTGTCTGTGGTGCCGGAAGGGGTCCGTCACCCTCCGAGCGCTTGGCGTTTCACAGCATCGCATGGGAGGATTCACTAATCTGAGTGCGCTGGGATCTTTCTAATAGATAAACACTACGCTGGGAAGGGCTACGTGACGACCAGTTGGCAGGGACACGCGGGACTTGTTTATCACCGACTTTTTAAACTTTGAGTGACTTTGGTGGGTCTGATTCGGTTTTGTTTGATTACACAGACGTGCGTCTTCCATGCCTCAGATGTCTGCTATAGTTCTGTGTGGTTTTTCCTGCTTGCTGTACCTTTCTGGCTGGGAGTCCATGCTGGGGGGGAGGGGGGTCTGTGCCTTTATGGGGACAATAGAGAGGCACTCTGGGGACAACAACATGTCCCCAATTACTCCTGTAATAGTGACACATGTGTCCCGAAGATGAAAACTGTTTACTACCACAAGATGAATTGTTGACTCTGGGAATTACCCATCCATTCCGGCCTTTCAAATGAGGAAAACGTTGGGTGTTGGGATGGGCATGTCAGTCCATTGCAGGGCTCACTGCACAATTTATAGACACCAGGTCACCTCAGCTGTGTGTGTTTTTGTGGGTGGGAGGAAAGTGGAGTGCCTGGTTGAAACCCGCATGAACTTGGGCAGAACGCACAAACCCCCCGCACACACAGATCCGGGGTGTGGGAATCGAACCCCAGATGATGCAGGAGTGAAGCCACAGTGCTGCCCTTACCATCCAGTGCAGGGATTGTCTATCTGTCTATCTATCTATCAATCAAAGTTTTATTTTTCACATATACCATTATACTCTGTACAGTGTGAAATGCTTGGCTGCTTCTCTCCAAAACTGTGATAACAGGGGACATACGTTTAAAATGACAAAACATTACAAAATTAACATTAAGATTATTTATTCATAGCTCCCCTACCCCTATGCTAACACCTGGTGAGAGACAACAGTGAAAGGCTTTGTGTGGAAGGATTTGGGTTTCTCCCTATTAATCTGTACATTCTGCTATTATTGGTAAGTGCTCAGTGAATTTGGAAAGGCCCAGGACTTCATGGGAGAGTGGAGATCTCTCTCATTTGGGGGCAAAGAGTTTCATCTTGTGGAGAGGGATTGATAGCTTGCAGGAGAAATTTATGTGGGTGATGGACCGTAACGTGTCATTTGTGGGTGGTCTACATTCTGATTACTAGTGCGGCTCGAGCTCACCAGCGTTAGAGAGCAGCACATTCCATTTGTCGCAGTCCTCACTCACAGAATCTGACATTTCTTGCGTCTGTTTATGACATCATAACTGCCTGTCATCATTGGGCGGTGATCTTTCGTTAACCCTGGTAGGGTGGTGCGGGGACCTGATTCCACCACAGGCCGCACACCAACACATTTACGAACCTGTATGTCCAGCAGGCGACTGAACTAGTAACTGTGGCGTCCCACTATTCCGTATCGTATAAAAACATCGGGAGAACTGGGCTAGATCCAAACCCCCCAAGGCACGGTTCCACCCACCGCTATTTTACATAATTTTAATTATAATAAAAAATATTACATAATGGTTATCTGTAATGCGAGTTATTCTCATAAAGGGTTTCCAGTTTATTGAGCCCTCCTGAAATGCGAGCGGACAGGCTTGGCAATGCGAGACGAATTCGCCAGCATTCAGGTGAATGCTTTACCCTGAGGTGCAAGGAGTAGCTGCGGTACGTAGCTAGGAAGTGATCCTGCTTAGCGATGTGCTTATTACGCTATGCATCCCCCAACACGGCATGTGTTTCGGGAACGGGTAAAAAGGAAAAGCCGCTTTCAGAGAGAGCCTCCGAAGGCGAGTGTGGGCATCTGCGGGGGAGATGACACTCTCATCGTTACCCCACTCGTCACACGTTGGTACCCCCCACCTACCGATAACGACTCTACTCTAAGGAACAAACGCATCTGCCTACCCTGCTCATTTTGGCCTTGAACCCTGGAACGACAAGGTTCAAAAACCTTGAGAGATGATGTGTTATGCTGTGGGCTAGATTAGGGTTCCGTGAGCTGGTTTCTGGTGTTAATTAGCTGTGGCCTAGTCCCCACGGATCAGGAACCTCATATATGCTCGATCGTAGAATGGATGCACGTCTTATCTCTGCCTCAGAGATGTGTGTGAAATTCATTACGTTAATCTGCGTATTCCCGCCCCCCCTCCTTGTGTTTGTAGTTGATGGCTCTCCATGATTGGGGTGCAAAGGCTCTGCAGAATGAGTTTTCCTTCTGAGTGTTGGCTACATGTGATCACTCCAGGCAGCCAATAGCTGCCTCGAATACTTCCCGAGGATACTCAGAATGGACGGCAATGAAGTGGTTTGTGGGGCGGCTATTAGATCAGACATTGCCATTTCTTTCAGCGTTGCTTTCTTGTTTTCATTCCTGCTTGATTTTTTTTTTATAACTACATAATAAACAGACAAACAAGTGCAAAGCCTGATTAGTTGCTGAATTTTTTGCTGGCCTCACATGAAGACCTTGAAACGCCAGATACTAATTAGCAAAGGGCAGTTCTTAGTGTCCTTAACCACTGCGCCGTCTACTGCACTGTATTCTGCACTGTATTCTCCTGGAGACAGTGGCTGTACTGTGAGTAGAGGAACTTTGTGTGTTTTCAGCTCCAGAATGTCAGGGAAGAAAAAGCCTTTGAAATATTTGAAAATTGAAGTCCAGGCGCCCAGGTGTTGTGCGAGTTTCAGTATTTGGGGAATTAAATTCTCCTACTGGATCTGACTAATGGATAAAATCCAGGACCTCCTGTGGTCTACTAGATCCGGCTCTGTCCTAAAATCCTCTTTCCAGCAAGTGGTTCATGTCCAACACTCTCTTCCTCACCATCTGTCCTTAACAGACATTTAAGTTTTCTATTTACATAGTTTTGATCTCTGAAATTTTATCATCATTTCATCTTCTGCCAAATTACCAGCAGCCCTTTAGTGCCTGGGGTCGTGGAGGATTTTAATGAGGTTCTTTTTAAACTTTATGTTTTATGTCCTGGATTGCCAGATTTGATTTTTTTATTCCATATGGACAGTGATTAGTACTTTTTGCTTTGTGACAACTTGTGAAAGGCCTTGTGGAAAAACAGCAGGATTCCTCCAACTGTACCGTTTCTCCCGCCAACAAACTGGCAAAGCATCAGAATATGGTAGAGACTAATGAAGTCACTCTATAGCCAGTTGAGTGCCGCCACGGGGGGTGTCTTGGCTGATGGAGCAGGTGAGTTGTCTTCCTTGAAACGTGTTGTCTCCCGTTGCCTTGCGATCAGGCTTCATGATCTACCGACTTTCCCTCCTGCATCTCGTCATTAAAAACAAATTGTTTCCCCTGTAATAAGGTTATGGGGATGAAGTAACCAGCTTCTTCATCTTGGACATTTTGTATAAATGATGTAATAACGGATTTCCACGCACTCTTGTCAAGTGCCTTGGGGCAACTGTGTTATGAAAGGCACTATATAAAAATAAATTGAATTGAACTTCTGAATACGATTAGCTGTTTGAATCGTTTTTAAAGATGGCAGCCCCCACCCCCAAATCAGCTATATAGGATAGCGATAGAACCAGCACGTTGTGCTGCAGAGACGAGCTCCCTTTTTATCACCGAAATAATATTTTATTTACGCCCACGTTCTGTGACGGCAGTGGGAGAGAGCTTTCGAGAAGTGATCCTCGCAAACCTAGAACGGCAGAGCAGTAATGCAGTCACAACATTCGACAGTTAATTTAAATAATTTGAATTATCTTCAGAAGAGGCAGGCGTTTCATTAGACTCCTCCAGAGAGAGGTAACGGTGTCGTTAAGGGCCAAACACTTTTACACGTGACACGTCTATGTGTCGGGGACTGCCGTGAGGATGCCACGTCTATTTTCGATGCTGGAGAGGAACGAGGGAGGAGTTAGCACTCGTTATTTCTGGAGCGAGACCATCCTAATTAACAAATTCCTGGTGTGAAATGTGCCACTCCGAGACTCC